TTGAGTTTATACATTGTACTAGTCTGGTAGTCAACGTACTTGTAGGCTTTCAGATGTGCCATTTAATCCAGCAAAAATTTCTAATTCACATAATACAATAATAATAGCGGAGCTCTTGTGTGTGCAGCAGAGCACCATGGGTAAGAAAATTTGGTTATCTATGCATCTGAGAGTCATAGTGACTTGTAGCCATGTGACTGTACGTCCGTCCATCCACCCACCCGTCCCTCCACACCACGGGCATACCAATGAGAAATAACTCAATCGACAGGTATGGCAACCCAAATACAAGTCAAGATTTTTTTTGGCAGGAAATCGCACGGCCATTCATGTCTTGTGAATTAAAGCAGAGTCAATTGAGTAGTCAATAAAGACAGAATGGAAAGTGGAAATTGTTTCTGTATCTGTGTGTTGCCGTAAATGTATTTGTACACTAAACTAATCATTGCTTGCATGGCCTTAACTGTAATTACAAGGTACGATTCAGTTCATAAAAAGTCATGAAACAACCATAGTGTGCTAAGCACAACACCTTCAGGGTTCTCAATAGAAGGCGGCACCCGGCGATTGATCGCCGCTTACTTTGGGATTTATAGCCGCTTACTTTGTGTTTAAGTCGCTTTTCTTTGCTTTGTTTTCACACCTCTGGCTTTGCTGAAGAGCCTCCTACTTTATCAGTGATCACCTCCTACTTAAAAATCTATTGAGAACCCTGCACCTTGGAACAAATTGCAGAAAAGCAGGAAATATTATTTAAAAAAACACAGTGTTTACGTCTACACAAACAAAATTCTGGTAAAGATCACAAAAATGGATTCACATAATGAGTTATTAATGGTAATGTTTGGGAAAATGACTGATACTTGAATGTAAACAAAAAAAATACAATTTCATTACCACTTTTCTTGTCAAAATGGAATTGTAAATGGGCAGGGTTTGTAAACATCCCAAAGACAATCCTGAGCTCCAATTCTGACTCTCTGTGAAAATAAAATTATGAAGACAAAAAGTTGCAAATGTCTTCTGTTTTTTCTCAATATTTCTTTCATCCTTACCATAATTTCCAAAAAATGTTATCTTGTTCACAGTAATTGGGATCCCATCATGCCATATTAAAATAATTCAGTTGTAAGGTAGAATAGGTAAAATCACACAGGTCAAAGTGGGTGGGACAAATTCCAGGAATCTCATAAATTGAAGCACTAAGATGAGCTAGATTGAGAGTTGCAGCAGATAAAGTGAAACTGCCAGACTCCAGCTGTCATAGTAAAGCCCACTGACAGATTTTGGTCATAAGTGCTGTCATTCATTTTGGAAATTTCTTGGACAACAAATGTTCTTTGATTTGTTAGAAAACGTATACTATAGAGTGTTTTCACTCACGTGGCCAACATCTATGCAAATGTATTAGAACAAAAGAAAGCGTTTGAATAAGAAAAGAGTTCAACTCCCAAAGGTCTGGTTTGGGACACCAACATGGCTGCCGTTTCATTGTTTTGGGACACCAATATGGCCGCCGTTACGTCATGTGAAAACACTCTATATGTAGATAATGAAAAATTAACCAAATACCTGGTAATTATCTGATGTCATATAACTTGTTAAGAAGCAGACAAAAAATTAATGATAGGATGCACTAGCCACAACAACAGTTTAGTTTGCTTTCTGTTCTGTTCGCAAAGCATATAATATCATGCATTCTCTGAAGGAAGCTGCCCAATACTTAAATACACCAACAACTTACCATTTCGGCAACCAGAGACAAGAGCTAACACTGTTTCAGCAAAATTATTTAAGCCTAGGGAAATGAATTTTAGACTCATTATGATGTAATGGTACATGCACATGTGAATTAATTTATTTCAACATTAAGGACTATACCCTAAATGTCAGTAGTTAAGTTGCATAAACTATCTGCAAAAAAAGAAATTATAAAATTAGTTTACCAATGTTGCTTTTCTTTAAACTATACTAACCTAAAAAGGTCTGAAGAAATTAACTTAATAACTCGCAATACTTGTCTTGCAAATCCTTGCAAAACCCCTTGCGAATATCTCAGCTTAAGTTAATGCAATTCAAGTGATCGGGAACTGGTTGGGTGACCAGTGGTGATTTTCTTTTTCTCTTGTCCTTTTTTTTTGCCTCGTTATCCTATTCTTAAATGAAGGATGATCATCGCAGTTATATACACAACTTTTGCAGTTGCAAAAAGAAAGCCTGAAAAAAATTCAGGCTTGTACGGGATTCAAACCCTCGACCTCTGCATACCGGTGCAGTGCTCTACCAATTAAGCTAACAAGTTTGTTTGTATTGCAGAGGTCAAGGGTTTGAATCTTGTACAAGCCTGCAACTGCAAAAGTTGCGTATATAACTGCGATGATCATCCTTTGTTTAATTCTTCACTCTGCAGTTCACATATATGATTTTCATATATTCAAAACTTCATCATCTTCCTTTCACAGGTTTATAACGAACCAAATCAACAACCTGCTCACAGTTGGCTTTTTTGCCTAATTGGTAGAGCGCTGCACTGGTATTGTAGAGGTCAAGGGTTCAAATCCCGCACAAGCCTTAATTTTTTTCAGGCTTTCTTTTCTTAACTGCAAAAGTTGCACTATAACTGCGATGATCATCCTTCATTTAATTCTTCACTCCACAGTTCACATACATAATTTTCATACATTCAAAACTTCATTATCCTATTCTAAAAGCATACTTAGCAATATTTTGGCCACTGGATGAAGGAAAACAACAAATTACAAACAGAACAAAAAATACGAAGCAAGTCAAACTCAATTCAGAATTCAACTCTGGTCAGAATCATTAATGAACTTTTAATTCCTCATATGTAGAAATAATCAAGTTCAAAATGTTGTTCTTCTTGGATTGCTTGACTGGGTTGCACTATAGCAATAAATTGCTGCAAATCAGCCGATCATACAACACAACATTTATAGTACCTTGACCAGGTTCCTGATTATCAACAGCTTGACAGTAGTGAGCCACAAATGTCTGTAAGAACCTTGTGTAAAGCTGGCAAGACACTTTGTTGCTAAAGAGAAACAAGAATGCTTTACTTGTATTAGAGTGTTTAATTTTCTAATACAACTGACCCAGAAAAAAAATGGCAAACTTGCAAATTTTACTTTGTCATTTCTGTGATAAGGTTTATATACAAAAGGGTGGACTAGCTGCAATTGGGTTGTAATTTTTTCTATAGTCTTTCTTCCTATTGAACCAAGCCCAGTTTCTCAAAGTATAGTAAATTAAAACCCAGGGTTAAGCCAAATTTTAAGGAAATTTTTCTGTCTACAATGTTAATGCAAAACTCCTGGATCCAGTTAAGACCACCAAAGTGCAACCTCAAGGATTAAAATTAACTCCTGGAGTTAAGCGGTAATCAGACTCTCAGCTGGAATCTGGCCCTGAACACTGTGGAATGAGCATACAAGGGAAGCTGGAGACATGCTCCCTTGGGAAGATAATTTTGACATTTAGGTCATCTAAAATAGCTTGAAATATGTCTTCAACTCTTACACATACTCTTCTAATATTGGTTCATATCAAATTAATATTATTTTATGGTTCACAGTTTCTGAGACTAAGACTGACATTGCTCCTAGAATTGCATCAAATCTCTTTACCCCTGGCTTCAGCAAGTCCAATGTCAGAATATACTGTACAGTTAATGAAAAACAAACTGACACATCCATGGGGAGGCTTCACAATAAGCACTACTGTACAGTAACTTTGACACATTCTGCCTCGAAGGCCATAGTTTTGCCACTTGGGTTTCAAACAAATTTAACTATTAAAAATCAACCTCCGACACAGGAGTTTTTATCTAATCTGAGAAAACAGCCGACATTTGGCAACACTACCACTGGTTTCCCTGCCAAATGACATCTGAGAAACAATCACAGAAATTCCATACTGATGATGATTAACTACCCAGATCTGGTTAGTGCTTCTGATTGGTCGTGCCTCGTGGGATATTTGATTCAACCAATCAGAAGCACTACCCACATCTGGGTAGCGACATGTCATCAGTATGGAATTTCTGCACATGTTTCTCAGACGTCATTTGGCTGGGAAACCAGTGGCCGCATCGCCAAATGTCAGCTGTTTTCTCAGGCTATTTTTTATGCAAAAGGTTAAATACATCAAAGGCTCTGCAACATAGTGCTGTCTGGTTTTGTGATTTTTACTTTACTGCCTGATTTCCTTTCTTTTGCCTACACAATCACCCACATTTTGATTGCGATCCCTTTCCCTCATGTCAAAATAGCTGCATGTAGTAGTACAAGACCATGCTCAAAACTTGAAGGAACAGCTTGTAAGGGATCAGAGGAAGATGGCAATGTTGTGACTAGCAGCAACTATATAGTCACACTAGTTAAACTGGCGCTACAATCTACCAGTCAATTCCAAAACCACCCATCCCCCCTGGTCATACCATAGGGACTTGACCGGAGTTTTGCTCTGTAAAGTGGGGAATTTAACCCAACATGAGGACCACCCAGTTGGGCATTTGACCAAAAGCAAGCAAAAGGACTTCATAATTCTTTCCGTATTCAGCATGTGCACTGCACTCACCGGTCATTGCCCCTATATTCACCGTTTTGTTGGAGCATTTGAGAGCCTTTGAAAAAGCGCATTAAATGGAGGCTTTCTGGAAATAACACAATTTTATTGAAATGAACAAACCTATGTAAGACAGCTTTCTGAGACTTCAGATGTAGAATTTCAGTTGTGTTTAGTGAGATATTTATTTTGGAAATGTCACTGGTGGGTGGGGGATTTGATGCTTATTGTAGCACTAGCCATTGGGGCATTTGACCATCTTAACTGCCAACATACCAGGGATTTTGACCAAAATTTTTCAAAAAAGTTGAATGCTCAGGGGTTTACCCAGGGGCATGGGTGGTTTTGGAATTGACTGGTACATAATTGTCTCAGTATAGGGCACGTCTGGAGAAGAGTAGGTTATCGAATAGTATTGTTTCAAAAGATGGATGGTGCTATCCACCACATAAATCACTAAACAGCAGGCTCCAGTTGTTCAAACGTTGGATAGCACTATCCACCGGATAAATCATGCACTATCCAGGGGATAAGTGATGAATAAGTGTTAGGGAAACCAATTGCGCCGCTATCCAGTGGATAGTGATTTATCCAGTGGATAGCGTTTTTGAAAAACTGGGGCCAGATAAGTAGGCTTATTAGGGAAACCAACTGCGCCATCATCCACTGCAGGATAGATATATTTATTCAGTGGACAGCGTTATAATTATCCAGCGTTTGAACAACTGGGACCAGTTAGAAAGTACCGATCAACTATAACATCACGACATAAATAGATAAAAATTGCCCACGATACAATAACAATTAAATACAATGCAGTACATTTTATGGGTCAAAAAGCTTAAGCTTGTCTTATTATACATCCACCAACCTTCTTTTCAAAGTGTGTATTTGAATAAGCAATCTTCGCCAGGCGTCCGCTCTTGACGAAGGACTTGTATTTGACGACTCGGCGTTAAAACACAATTTCTGCCACGTGTTAAGTGCACGAGAATCACCTTCCGAAAGATTCATTCCTTGTAACGACCGATTTGATGATATAAATGTTGGAAGTATTAAAACACAACGAATTCTTGTTTTATCTCTGATAAATATATCGAACTAACAAATCCTTAAGCCGAACCGAGGAGACTTGGTGACAAGGCGCGAAAAGCGAAGTGGCGCGTTTGCGCAAGCAGTTCTCCTTCCTCGAATGCCAAGCTTATGCACCTATCAATGTAATGCCGGCGGGGGGGGAGGCAGGGCATGGGGTGGGGATTTGATTGTTTTTGTTGTCCCTGGGGTAGGGCATTTGACCGATCTTGTTCTCCCGGGGGAAGGGATATTTGAATCTTTCTTCGCCCGACGTGGAGATATTTGACTGCCGAGTCGGACGAAAAAGACTGAGACCGAACATATGTTTCCCGCTTCCACGCTTCACACGTGCGCCATACGGTTTGAAAAGATCGGGAAGTCATGGAGGCCAATGAGAACAAGCGAGGGCTGAGTGGATTTCACTGTTTTGTCTTCAAATTTTGTTTGTTTTAGCGTGTTTTTGATCAATTGAACCTCTTAATATACTGTGGTATCAAAGTAAACGGAAGTAAAGAGAAACCAAGTAGATTTTTGCAAGTACAATTGGTTAGTGTATGGCTCATTCGCTACAATCACTGTAAACTTATAAAACTGACTTTCTTTGTACCCTTTACTAAGAACGGTATATTTAGACTTACAAAATGTGGACTTTCTCCTAAAGGTTTACGTAGTTTAACACGGATTATGGTTAAAAGGTATAATTGCAGCTGTAACAGGAACATGTATCTTGGGTGATGCAGCAACGTTTATAAAAGATTGCGGAGTTTTATTTGGAGATATTTTTATTGTGCCTTTCTTAGGTTCTGCCTTGGGATTGACAGCAATGTGCAGCCTGGGGTGGGGAAATTTGGTTGGATTTGACTGGAATGATTTGCCCGTGGGCAGGGAATTTGATTGCAAATTTTTGAAAAAAGTCAAATCCCCACCCTATGCCCTGCCTCCCCCCCCCCCGCCGGCATTACATTGATAGGTGCATTAGTCCATGAGCCAAGACACTTAAAAACAATTTTCGTGGCACTCCCCGTAAGACATAGCGAATTTGGTATCAAATTAACTCTTATTGTATATATTTTAATAATCTACCTGTTACCTTCTATGTAACCTGTGCCTAAGTGAGAAAATCACTTGTTTCTCAGGGGGGTGGGGGGACGGTTTTACATTTTGGCACGAATACATTTTTAAGGCTTAAAACAACAAATACTTCAAAAACTGCTGATCCACTGTGGAGAAAACTGACGAAAAGTTTATTTTAAGTAAAGTTCTGTTCCCGTCTTTGTCTAAATCTCAATAGGGTGTTACCATGGTAACCGTTGCTAGGGAAATATTTCAAACAGGGATATTACATTATTATGTACATTATGAACAGGATTTTTCACAGACACTATTTTTTGAACACCAAAGCATTATTAGCATCATTCTTTTTGTAAACTATTTACTTTTTATGAACTATAAGGCTTTAAGGCTCAATAATATTCCCGCAAGTCAACCAGTTCATTTGTTTCACAATTGTTGTAATTCTTTTAATAGCAAAGAAAAAAAATAAAAATTCAAAATAGATTTGTGACTAGTGGACAGACCAAAATCTGTAAAGTGTTTTCTTCTATTATTTTTTAAATGAAAGAAAAACTGGCAAATTTTGATAATAATCCAGTGTCCGCTATTCCATGAAAGTTCCATTTCAGATTGTATATCCCATGATGCAATTCAAACTTATTATCCATGAGCGGCCATCTTGGAAAATGGTGTGCAGACAAAATGGTAAGAGAATGGTGATTTTATACAGATTTTCCCCTTAATTTCGATTCTTGGTTGTGCAAGATAAACTCAAGTAACGTCTGTAAGTTTCTGTATAATATATTTTATTTTTTTAAAAAAGCTAAAATTCCCACAGAACATTACTAGAATAACTGTAAGTAGTCTGTCAGATTTTGTTTTCACCACAACATCGATACTGAAGTTTTTGGCGTGGAAGCGGTCAAATCAAACGTAGAAGTTATGTTTTCAATAAGGTTTTGCTTGTGTTAAGGAAATAAGGTTTTTTGCTTGTTTTAATTCTCTGGTGACATTTGAAGAGTTTCAGAAAACAAGATAGTGTAATCAAGGATATGCCAGAAATTACGCCAGTAAGTTGTACTAGAACGCGCTCAATGTCCAGCCCGATACAGAAACCTAACTGGAATAGGTGCTTTTGTCATGTAAAAGAAAATGTTCAAGGTCAATTAACAGCATTTACTAGCAAAAGCTGGGAAAAGTTTGCTCGACTCGGAGAAGGGATGAAATCTGGTTGATAATGAAGGACTACTGGAGTGAGGGACCAAAAGGGCGATATCACCGGCAATGCTACTAACTAGTACAGGGGTAGTCCAGTGTCTCTCAGGTTATTCTTCTACTCGACTAAGATAATCCGCTCCAACATTCTCTGATCCTTTGATGGCTTCCACCTTGAAATTGTAACTTTGTAGAAACATCACCCATCGCATGAGTCGTGCGTTAGCATATTTTGCGCTGTCCATGTACTTCAGCGGCTCGTGGTCTGTCTGCAGCACAAAAGGTACACCGTACAAATATAGATGAAATCTCTTGATTCCCCATACAATCGCTAGGCATTCTTTCTCGATTGTAGAGTAGTTGCGCTCCGCACTCGACAATTTCTTGCTTGCGTAACAAACCGGGCAAAATTTCTCATCGTGCCATTGCATCAATACTGCACCGATTCCATTGTTGGAGGCGTCCGTCCGTAAGAAATAGGTTTTAGCTGGATCGGGAAGACGTAGAATAGGTTCACTTGTTAGGTAGGACTTGATTGTTTGGTAGGCTTTTTCTTGTGCTTCACTCCACTCAACTTTATGGGGTTGGCCTTTCCGTGTGAGATCAGATAAGGGTGCTGCGATCGCTGCGAAGTTGGGAATGAAATCTCTGTAGTATCCTGCGAGACCCATAAATGACCGTACCTGTTTCTTTGTACTCGGCCTTCGGAATATCCTCCTCAGGTATGGTGATCTGCCAGTAGCCCTTGCTAAGATCAATCTTTGTGAAAAACTTATCACCACTCAGTTTCTGGAACAGGTGTTCCGCGGTCGGCATGGGTTCAGGGTCAATAACAGTCAGCTTATTTAGCTTCCGGTAGTCAACGCAGACTCGGTTGGTATTGTCTTTCTTCTTCACTACAACAACAGGCGATGCATAGGGTGAATCAGACTCCCTAATAACTCTCATTTTAATCATATCGGCGATATCTTTCTTCAACGACTCCCTCATGCTGTAAGGAACTGGATATGGTCTTGACCGAACAGGCTCATCTGAGGTAAGTTTGATGTGATGCTGGGCGAGGTCTGTAGTACCTGGTGCCTCGGTAAATAGACTTGAAAACTGGTTGGCTAGGTCCATAAACTCAGAACGCTGTTGGTCAGTAAGATTTGATCCGGTGGTAACATCTGCAACAGATTTCTTAGCATCATAGCCACCGATCTCTAGGAAATCAACATTATCGTCATCCTCCGCATCCTTTACTTCACATTCTTCAGTTTCACAGTGCATATCTTCCTTAAAATGATCATCTGCTTTTATCACCGCTACTGCTCCTTCTGTGGTAGCTTCATCTCTTTCAAAATACTTCTTGAGGAGATTCGCGTGGTAAACGTTCTCCTTTCCTTTCACTTTAACTCTGTAGTCGTTAAGGCCTACTACTGAACTCACTTCAGAAGGACCCTTCCACTGCATCAGCAACTTATTGTGATCAGTTGGTAGTAGCACAAGAACTTTCTCACCAGGCTGAAATTTTCTGACTCTGGTCTTGCGATCATAATAGTGCTTTCCTTTATCTTGAGCCTTCTGTAACTGACTGTGGGCTAATTTAAGGGTTTCTTCCAACTTCTCACGCAGCTCAAAAACATACTGGTAGCTGCTTTTAACTTCCGGTTCCTCTGCTTCTTTCGTCCAAAGCTCCTTAAGGATAGTCATCGGACCTCTAACGGCTCTTCCATACAGCAGCTCAAACGGTGAAAAACCAGTAGACTCTTGGGGAACCTCACGATAAGCAAACAACAAAGGGTTCTTAAAGCGATGCCACTGTCTTGGTTGTTCACTACACTATCTCTTTAACATAAGCTTCATTGTTCCGTTGAACTTCTCAGTTAAACCATTACACATAGGATGGTAAGGCGTGGTAGTGATCTGCTTGATACTCAGCAATCGTGTTACTTCCTTCATGCAATCAGAGACGAACTGTGTACCAAGGTCACTTAAAATCTCTTAAGGAACTCCCAATCGACTGAAGATATTTACTAACGCCTCTGCAACGGTTTCAGTGTCAATAGTCTTCAAAGGGACGGCTTCAGGATAGCGAGTCGCAAAATCAACAAGTGTCAGGATGTACCTGTGTCCTTCTTCACTTGGTGGGCTGATAGGTCCGACAAGGTCAATGGCTACTCTTTTAAATGGTTTATCAATCAAAGGCATCTTCTGTAGTGGCACCTTCGGAATCGATCCCTTGTTTACGGTCTTCTGACAGACATCACACGACTTGCAGAAACGGGCTACATCACCTTGAATACCTGGCCAATAAAATGCACTCTGAATCTTGTCAGTCGTCTTCTTAATACCTAAATGACCTCCCATTATAGATCCATGAGCCACTTCCATTATTCGGGGTCTTAACTGCACAGGAACCATCACTTGCTTCACCGGCTTCCCACCATTCACAAAAGGGTGTTTGTAGATGCGGTAGAGTATCCCACTCTTTACCTCAAAAGAAATCTCAGCTTGACCCTTCACTAGTACATCACCTCGGTCCCAGTACTTCTGTAAACTCTCATCTTCACTCTGCATCTGTTTAAGTTTCTGTTTATCTACAATGGGGCTCTCTTGTTAGCTTGGTACTTTTAAAGGGGTAACTTCGCCGTCTTTCTTAGCTTGACTTCTCGTGGTTACAGCGCATGCTTCTTGCCAAGTTAGGTCTGGTTCATCTGCAGGTCTAGCTCCAGGAACGTTACCTATTATCAGGTCGTAAATGGCATCTGGGAGACACTGCGCTTCCACTTGCCCCTTGAGATAAGGTGTATCAACAGTAATTCTTGCAATAGGTACCTTCCTCGCAGTGTTGTCAATGAGCAGAATAACGTTAAAATCACCGGTAAACTGGTCCTCAGACACAAGATTCTTCTTAACTACTATTCCACTACAACCAGTGTCTCTCAAGACATCCACAGTCTTCTCTCCCACTCTTCCTTTTACAACAGGCATTCTCAACCGATCGCCAGACAGCGGTTCAAGGCAGGCATTGCTTACTATTGGGATCTTCTTACCACTGGCTAACAACAGTTTATCATCCTTAATGCAGGCTCTAACTTCTTCTTCTGTAGGTTTAATCTGGGGTGGCTGAACTAAACAACCGGCACTCACTTGCCCACGCTGCACAGGGAGACCATCCCTACTTTGTCCTCCTGACTTCTGTTTACCTGATCGACAGTTCCTCGCTTCATGACCTTGCTTACCACATAGAAAATATTTCGTAACCAGAGATGGGCAGTTAACAGCCTTGTGGCCACGAGCGTTACACTTGAAACACACTACTGTCGTTGAATCACTCTGCTGATTCTTCGATTCATCCACCTTGGGCTGTACTTGTAGCTTCTTGCTCGGAGAGCTAAACAGATGCTTTCCGTGTGCTTCCAAGTATTGATCGGCAATCTTCGCTATCTGGACAAACGTTTCCGGGGCTCTTTCACGAAGGTGAATGGCTAACTCTTTTGGACAAGAGTCAATAAACTGTTCTTTCACTATTAAGTCTTTCAGGCCTTCAAAAGAACGTTTAGTGTTCGACAGCTCTAACCAACGCAGCAAGTATCTATCCAGTCTCACTATGAACTGTTCAGGACTCTCGTCAACTTCCGGCTTTGATGCTCTAAATTTACGGCGATAGCCATCCTCTGTAAGGTCATATCTCTTCATCAAAGCTAACTTTACTCGATCATAATCTTGGGCTGCCTCCTCAGATAATCGTGAATAAACCTCTAGAGCACGTCCAGACAAAAGAGCACTAAGTTTCGAAGCCCATCCTGTCTTCTCCCATTTAGCTGTAGTTGCGAACCTCTCAAATCGTTGTAGGTAAGCATCCAAGTCGTCCTTGCCATCAACAAATGAGAGAAGCTTGGGTGCCTTGGCCCTGTCCTCTCTCAATTCAGCGCGTTCGGCGACGTTACGGGCTTGTCCTAGACGAGCGAGCTCTAGTTCATGCTCTCTCTTAGCAGCTTCAATAGCTTCTTTTTGCTTTAACAGTTCCGCTTCCAGCTCTAATTTTCTCAGATCGCGTTCTTGCCGCCTAGCCTCTCTTTCTTCGTCTTCTCTTATACCCCTTTCCTCTTTCTCTTCTTCTTCCTTTCTTCTGTCTTCTTCAAGTATTCGACGTCTCTCTTCCTTTTCTTCTTCTAACTGCCTACGCTTTTCTTCTCTTTCCTCTTCCAATTGTCTACGTTTTTCTTCTTTTTCCTCTTCTAACTTAAGTTGCTCCCGCACAAACTCGAGCAGTTTTTGTCCCTCCAATCCCAATTTTTCTCCAGTCTGTATAAACTTATCCATTTTCGCAGCGCAAGTTCACAGCAAACGCTCAATATCTTCTTCCTCGTAACAGTGTTTTTTTTTTACTTTCGCTGCAACTCCTTCTTCTTGAACTGTCCTTTCCTGGTTACTGTAGTCGGGAAACAATTGAATTCCTCTCCCAGGACAGGCCCCCAATGTTACGCGGGTAATCTTTTAGAGGACGGGTAGCTTGCAAACCAAACTGAACGCAGGGTTGTCGGAACAGTAACAAGAAGATTTATTCCAAGAATGAACGTAGTTTCCACGAAGTAAAACTTCACAACAGCACGTAACTCGATAAACTTACACGGCCTCCGCCAACTTCACTGAACTTGATAATCTTACACGGCCTCTGCCAACTTGAATAAACTCTGCTTTCGTCACACTTGACTAAACACGACCAACGTCGAACTCTCTTCGCTTGTGAAAACTAGTTAAAACTTAACTCGAGCTGGCCTACTTATATGGTTTTACAATAAAGTTCTAGAACATTCCAAACAGTCTAATTATAGAAAGATTACAAAATGCACCGCTTTAGAAACGCTTACGCAAGATCCTAAAATAAACAAACTACGAACTCTCGCGAAGCTTCTAGAAAGTCACGCTAGTCACGCAATACAATTTTTCGTAACAGATACACAGACATAAACAAAGTGTCTAGGGAGGAACAAAGTCATTGCAATACCAGAGAGGATCGAGATGGAGAGTCTCTTGGGCTGTCCAGTGGCATTGAGCCTTCGTGTAACAGGGTCTGTAGGTCACAACTTCAAACATTTGACATTGATAAATGTGCAATTTGTCAGAAGGACAAAGCCAAGAAAGCCTACGGCAAAGGAGCAAGAACAAGAGAAACTCTTACACTAAACATTACTGAATTTGGTGTTGCCACTTTGATAAAAGCAGCCCGGTTTCGGAATGACAGCCGCATGTTATTGCACATTGATGGACGAGACACTATAGCTTTGGAGATCAAGTATCATCGATCGTGCTACAAAAATTATGTCCACCCAAAGCAACTGGCTAAGTTAGAAGAGCAGAATTGTCAAGAAGAGGATGCTGGAACTGGGGGTTATGACAGAGCATTTGGTAAGGTCAAAGAATTTGTTGAAAAAGAAGTCATCGCTGCGGCAGAAGCCATTCCGATGTCAACCCTTATTGAAAAATACACTTCCTTCCTTACCGAAGAAGGAGTAGATGTAGTGACGTACAGGTCCACTAAGCTGAAGGACCGGCTTACACGTTTTTTTGGAGAACGACTGTCCTTTCATCGACCTTCGAACCAAAACCAATCAGAATTAGTCTATGGTTCGCACGTCAAAACAGGAGAGGTGGTAGAAACTGTGTTCAAGAGTACTTCGTCTGTTGATGAAGAGTAAATGGCAAACAGTGACAGTGAGCCGAATTTAACAAATGCACAAGACGAGGTAAGCTGTCAAGTTTATCATACGGCTAAAACAATACAAAAGTTAGTTGCCAACATGAAACCAACAGTGCCATGGCCACCATCATCAGAAGATTTAGAGTGTGAGATTGAGATGGTACCTGATCTGCTCTACAATATGATGGTATGTGTTCTATCAACAAAGTCCGAATATTCTGTTGAAAGAGTTTCAGACATCTGACCGGAGGTCCATCGCCTCGCCTTCTCTCTTTCTCAGGATTTGATACATTCTGCCACTCGTGGACGAATAAAAACACCAAAACATGTCGTCCTTCCGATTACTGTAAAGAGCCTGACGGGGAATGTTGAACTGATAACCATTCTAAACAGATTTGGACATGGTTTATCATACTCCCAAATAGAGGAAGTGGAGACAGCTGTGGCAGAGATGCAGATTGCAAAGCGACAGAATGGGGTCTTTGTACCAAGTGTCTGCTACCCTAATGTACCAGGCGTTTTCTGCTGGGATAACAACGACCTACAAGAGGAAACCTTGTCAGGTAAATTGTAGTCCAGATTGAAAGTAAACTGCGCATACACTTTGTTTCAGCGTATGAGAAAAACGTTTCCAATCTGTAACTAGAAACACTATGAAAAGTAGTCTTAAAAGTAGACTTATTTAGTTTCCGTTCTCGACCAATTGGTTAGGTAGGTTAAAATATCAACCAACAGCCAGGATTTGTAGTATTGATTTAAGTCCTTTTTAGTATCGATTAAGGCACGTTTTTACATCAATATTTCTTCTGTTACTTGCTCTGCAGGTAAGAGAACGACTCATTGCACTGATGGCATTGTTATTCAACGCAAACCTCTTAGCTGTGCTCTACCACCTGAAAGTTCCAATAACCAGAATCGCTCCAAAAAACGTTCTATTTCCTGCATCTCTGCTGACGTACTTCCATATCATTCGGGACCTCGACAGGGACCTGATACGCTCGAAATTGATCTCACCACCATTTAACAAGCCTCCCCGGAAATTGCAGCTTATGCACGGGTCATCGACTTTGGCTGGATACTCTGCAGAATGCCGATCAAAGACACGCTATTTTCATTGGAAGACAATCAAAGGCAGGTTATACCAGCGTGGTCGGGCTTCAACATCAAACTACGCGAGGACAGTGTCCCACGTGAATGTTCAGTTGGTTATTGCCAAGTTATTGAAGCAAGTCCCACAGAACTTCCCACAGTGTATACAGTGTTGCAAAGATCTTTACAAATGGCTGACCAGCTAGGGCAACATGATGTAATTGTTGTTTTCGATAAAGCGATCTACGCAAAAGCACTTGAAGTACTATGGCAGAAAAAGGACCAGTTTCAGCGATTGGTTGTCCGGATTGGCTCCTTTCACACCATTTGTGCCTTCCTTGCTGCTATTGGCAAGCGATTCGGAGATTCCGGCCTTGCAGATGTTTTGGTTGAAAGTGGTATCGTGGGCTCAGGATCTGTGGCTGGGGTTATTGAAGGTCGTCACTATAACCGAGCTGTACGTACACATAAGGTACACATAGCTTGATTAGGTCTTTATAGAGTTGACTGGATAATATCTTGATGATTCCTACAGGATCATAACTTCACTTTCAACTTTTTTAATCGATGCTACGTAAATAAAACAAACAAATTTTTTGAACCTTTTGTTATTTTAGATTGTGTTTGAAGCAATGCAACGACTACAGTGGATGGGTTTCAAGTCATGGCTGCAACGTAGTGGTCACCGTGGCAACCGTATGATCCTTGTCAGTGCCATAGAGGACATCCGCTAAGAGTTTAGCACAGAAAAATTTAACAGGCTGCTGTCCATGCGGGATTTCCTAGAAATTTTCAATCTTTACAAGGAATACTGTAAAGAAGACAATGGTATGCTAAAGGTGTTTTGGAATAGCTTCCTGGAGATGGTGGAGGTACTGATAAATTTCTTAAGAGCAACCAGAGAAGGGAACTGGGCCATGCATCTTGAAGGCATCAAGGAGATGCTACCATGGTTCTTCGCCTACGACCATACTAATTATGCTCGTTACCTTCCAGTGTACTGAGCCCACATGATGTTGCTACCAGAAACTCACCCAGAGGCACATACCCTCCTGTTAAATGGTGATTTTTGAGTCCAACGAACAACATTACATGGATTTTCACAGATACCGGTAGATAAAACAATTGAGCAGACCCTGAACAGAAGCACTAAGACAAAGGGAGGAATTGTTGGGTTCAGCCTGAGGAAAGGTGCTGTACAGGGATGGATGATTACTGCTCACTCCCGTGCTGCTTTCGTAGACAAGTGTCGGAAGATGACAACAAATGTTGAAGAAAGCCAACGCAGACTGCACAAAAGAGGCAAGCCCAGCTCGCATGAAAAGAGATGAGGACGACGTAAAGAAAGTTTTCGAAGTAATCAGTAACTGACGCAACCCGTTTGAACCATCTGAGGAGCTTCTTAGTCTTAGCTCTGGGTATGTTGATAGTGAAAGTATGAAGGCCGACCTGCTCCTGGCAAAAGAGAAGGGCACAACAGCTTTGACGGCCTTCGTAGAAGAAAGACTGGTGACAAATTCAACCGGATTCTTTCAAACACTGCCCAAACTATAAAGCTAGGAAGTTTCCGTTACGTACAGAAGAAGACCTCTGTAACAGCAGGAGACAGGAACTTCATAATCAGAGCCGACAGGAACTTATTTGCCCGCCTTCTAGTCACTGGACAGAGTCGCCAGATGGACCTCAAAGATTTGCTGAGTCACGAGCTTGGTCCCCTTCCATGGTCGTTGGCTTCATCCGATGGTTCATTAGCCAACACAAACAAAGCAATTCTTTCCAAGCTACTCGAAAATGGAGTAGAATGCCAGCCGACTTTACCCGATCTGACAACAGCTGTCATCATAGACGCCATGGCGATGCTGCAGACGCTAGTAATGGTACCTGATAGATTTTCTGAGCTGGCAGACATGGTGATGACCAGAATTCTGATAGAGGCTGGAGAGGCAGCAAGAATCGACTTTGTAGGAGATCAATATCCAGCTAACTCAATTAAAAACACCGAGAGGAACAATCGAGGCAGAGATGGTGAGAGAGTCATCAACATTACCATAACATAACAGTTCTGCCCTCGTCAGTGGAGAAAGTTCATGGCAAAGGGAAGCAACAAAACCGGTCTCTTAAACTTCCTTGCACGTGAGTGGTCACAAAATGCGGTTTACGTCGAGAAAATCAAAGAACGCACTCTCTTTATCACTCATGGAGACAACTGCACCAAACTCTCCGCCTCTGATGGTACAATTACTGCATGCACAGTCTTGGAACTTTGCAGCAATCAAGAGGAAGCTGATACCAGGATGCTCCTCCACGCAAATCATGCTTCTCAAAATGGACATCAGCACATTGCTATAAGGTCATCTGATACAGATGTAGAAGTTCTAGCTTGCTATTACCAAACTGTCATTGCTGCTGACATAACACTGATCAGCGGCACTAAAAGCAGATCTCGCATTTTGAGTATCCGACAAGTATGTGAAAAGCTTGGCCGAGAGATATGTGAAGTACTTCCAAGCCTACATGCCATAACCGGTTGTGATAGTGTCAGTGCCTTTGCTACCAAAGGAAAGAAGAAAGCACTTGATATTGTACAGTTGAATCCAGCTCTGAGGCAAATTGTCAGTAGTCTTGGAGAGAGGCTCCCTCCTAATGAAGAAGATTTAAAGAAGATGGAACGATTTGTTTGTGCCTTGTACAACGACCCTAGATGCAATGGTGTAAACGAACTCAGGTACAAGTTGTTTTGTAAGAGCAAAAACCTGCAGTCACACCAGCTTCCACAAACAAAAGGAGCTCTGACATACCGTCTCAAGCGTGCTAACTATCAGGCCTTCCTCTGGAAGCATGCCCTAGAGACACAAACGGACCAGGCGCCCGATAGCCATGGTTGGCAGATGAAAGAAGGCCAACTGGAAATCTACTGGACTAACCAGGCACCAGCCCCCGATGCTGTGATGGAGCTTGTATGCTGCGGCCGCAAAGGATTGTGTCAAACACGACGCTGCTCTTGTGTTGGCAATGGTCTTCCCTGCACTGAGGCATGTACATGCCAAGATAACTGTGTCAATTGTGTTAGCAAGGAAGATAGTGAAGAAGATGATGATAGTGATGACAATACTGATGTTGATGATAATGATGACGATACCGAAGATAAAAATGACAGTTGAATTCAGATTTGGTGACGCTAATTAGTATCGGCTGTCTAGTTGACGTATTTAAATCTATGAGTTGAATGATTACAAAAATGTAATTTGATCGTATGACTTAAAAGTAGTTTTTGGTCAGAAAAAAGCCAGTTGTGAAATGGAAGGCCAAGTCATGAGGATGTAAGGATCTTTTCAAATGCTTCGATGGTCATCATCAAAACAAAAACAGTGTAATATACGTGTATTGGAAGTTTCGTAGGCAACCGTTGCCATGGAAACAGTATAAACAGCTACTGTGATGCATAACCTTTTAGTTATTATAGTAAAAATCGGCAAATTTCATTACAAACTCATTTCATCGCGTTCGTTAGAAAGCATCCTAATCTGGTGTTCCTGTGGCACTAAGGCAGAAATTTTCGAGCTATCACGGGCGACTGCAGATTAGCCGCCCCTATAAATTTTTTTAGGGGCACCTCGGCCGGGAAGCTGGACTTCTTTTGACTCGAGGAAGTTCCGTAATTTTTCCGTAAGTGACGAACGCTGATCCGTAATCAGTGATTACCACTAGTTTCTAAAAGATATTAATGTTTAGAGGTCACAAAGCTCTTCCCCCACCCCACCCCCAGCTAAATTTGTATTTACCTGCAAGGGCTTCAGTTATGCAGTATTCCCAAAACATATTAGGCCAGTAAGACCAAACATTTCTGTGCTTCCATCTCAATTCCTTGTTTTCAAAAAAACACTCACTAGTACAAAGTAAACGGTAAAAGTGAGAAGTGTAGCCCAACGCCATTTAAACGTTGACGGTCGTCATGGCAACTAAAGAAAACATATTCGATGAGTTCGTTTCATAAAATATGGTGAGGTTAGTGTTTTTGCCCAGTTTGGTGTAAAACCGTTTGGTATTTACACAGAAAGTTATCTTTTGTTATCGTGTTCTCCCCAACCTCGTCCCCAGGGCTTTTCCCTTAAAAAATGGGTGGGGCGGGAAAAGGCCCTGGCATCGGCTGGTCACGTGTCCCCTCGTACACCCTAAAATCCTGGGTGTAATAAATTAGCGCTTTGTGAAAAGCTAAAATTATGCGTAACCTCACACCGCGCGATCTTGGGCGGCCTTTTATATCTCTTGACGATTAACGAAAAGTTTTACAAGATTTCTTTTTTGTCACAGATACTGGCTATGGTAATTTTTTGCTTTCCTCCGATTTCTATGAAGGGGAGAGCGAGCGGTAACATTTGTAAAACTTCCTTTATAGAGCGATATAAATGACAAACAAGCTATCGTACATGCTTAAAGTTTGTACTGGAAAAGTCCGTTTTCTCGACTCTTTTGATATTTTATTTTATTTCTTGCGAAGTGGACCGCCGTACACAACCTAGTTCTATTCACCTTAACTCTCAGCCATATCATAGCGTCACGCGTTGGTTTAGACTTATCTTGTATGACCTGTATTTTTAAAAATTCATTGACCTCTGCGAGACTTGACCGAAACCGGAAACCGGGCATGAAAAGTTTCTGGCACCCAGGGTATCAAACGACTGGTAACAAAGAAAGACTTGGGTCCATTTAAAATTGACAGAGCTGTAGTTGATTCCAATCGATCGGTCAATCTTCCCTTTGATATAAGGAAAATCCTTTGTACTTATCCTCGGGAGAGAAAAGATATAAGAGATCTTAAAATGTTTCAGATCGGCGACCTGTCATCGTTCCTGGCTGGAGGGCTGACTTGCATCCGGCGCGGAGATTTGTTTGTTTCATGGTCGGGTTGTAGAGAAGACCAGACTCCATAAAGTATTTTGATGAACAATTCTAAGTCCAATTTGTTTAAATTAACTGCAGATCATAGAGGCAAAGGCCCGCATTTTTGTTTGACATTGGACAAAATCACTTTCTGCTTGATCAAGTAATTCCACAGTCACGATGAATTTCAGTCGAAGTACTACTCGATAACAGCTTGTCTCAACTCTGAAGCATTTGACATATTTTGTACGTGACAACGTAGAGCAGGTACTTGTAGCATTTGAATAATACGCAATTAAATGGATCTTAAGCTTTTGAATCGCACAGACGCGAAAATATTGACATACAGTTCGCGATATTATTATTTTCCACTGTTGCTCCGTTCGACGTCTGTCAGCGCAAAACCAGCGGGTTGCATATCATGATTAGCTTCTCAAGAATATTTAGGCTGTGCACGTGACCAGCCGATGCCAGGGCCTTTTCCCGCCCCACCCATTTTTTAAGGGAAAAGCCCTGGGGACGAGGTTGTGTTCTCCCGACATCCCGCGTGGGTTATCACGCCGATAAACCCATAGAAAGTGTGGTCTATTGCTTAAATATCCACTCTCTTGCCGAACACAATTTTCTAATCGTGTTAGGTAGTCGGGTATATCGAGCCAGATCAAGAGCTTCTGTATTACATGTTGTATGGGCATTTGATTTTCCGAACTCGCCACTATCGCTATTGACGCAGCGAAGATCGCATTGCCATACCAATCAAGTTTGACATCATTAGATGAAATCTGTCAAAATAAGTGTGCTTTATCAGTCAATTCCAGCTAAGCGCAGCCCCCCCCGGGCTACTGCGGAGCATTTGCCCGGCTTGTCAGTCCCGGGGGTGGGGCATTTGCTGCGCTGCCCGGGGGCCGGGCATTTGACAACCCCGGGGCCAACCCCGAGCTTTTGACACGTACGCGGTTTCCTATATAAGTACAAAGAGGATTTTACTGGAAAAACAAGCAGATTTTTGTGAAGGACAGGAAAAAATTGAAGAGGTTTGTAAAGGCATGTTCTCGATTTTATGCATGCATTTCTTCATTGCTTACCAAGCCAGAATTACATAGCGAAACTTGGAAGCTATCGACGTGAATCAAGGTTTTTGGGGTTATTGAATCAGTTTTGTCTTGATATTATTTGAAGAACATCCTTTCATATTTATAAAACTATTCATAGCAGTTAACTTTAAAGCGTACAATTAATTTTAATGTCCATAATTTTATAACAATACTAAAACCATAAACTGGTGTCGTCACGGCGTGAAGTCTTAATTAGAATAACACTATTACAAAGGAAGACGTTAATTGAACCAAAAAATCGCACATTAAGATGCTTAAAATGGCACTCCTTGACTGTGCTATCAATGAAAAATGTTGCAGTGTTGACGGAGGACGGGGCATTTGCCCTCTTTTTTCGTCCCCATCCCGGGCGATTTGACAGCTCAAGAGTCTCCACTCCCGGGAATTTGCCATGCGAGGCAAAAAAAAAATGCTTATGCCCGGGGGTCAGCCCGGAGGGGGGGACTGGGCGCAGATGGAATTGACTGATGCATTTAACCTGTTGCTTTTTGATTTTCTCGTTGCGGTACGCTAAGCTCGTTGGGAGCGTTGCTATGCAAAACAGTTCTTGATATGGCAACGATTTCGCCTGAAAAATCGACAATTTGATGCAACGCGCAACGAAATGGACGTTCATGGTTCCCGGCCCAGCTGAGCAACAATTTGCTGCTCTGATTGGCTGAGGCGGAGTATATCTGAACCAAAACAATTCTTTGTGAACCTTCAATAATATACACCGGTGATTCAATTCAGTTGGTGAAAGATAAGGACGTTTCAGAACAAAATGGCAACTCGGATACATTTCCAGTTCACATACACACGTGTGTACTGTCGCAATTTGTAATAATCATCTCACTTTGTAATACCTGTCGCAATTTGTAATAAATCCATCGCACTTTGTAATACCTGTCGCAAATTGTAATAAACCGTGTCGCACTTTGTAATAAAAAAGCTGTCGCAATTTGCAATAACAGTCCATCGCACTTTGTAATAAACTAAGCTGTCGCAATTTGTAATAATTCCATCGCACTTTGTAATAATTTTTTGAGAGTGATTCAACTTACTTCGTCAACACTAATACAATGCCAAAATATGCAAGGTACTTCATAAACAAAAATGATGACGTCTGCTAGCATGTAACATGTCCCTAATATTTTCTTTGGTCAAACATGCATGTCTTCCGCTATAAATTTTTCTGCCTTGATTAATCACGTGACTAACTAGAAACGCTTTTATGAAAGACATGAAACTGCCTGTGACATATCACCAAAAAGTTATGAATCACGTTTAAATTCAAAAATATTTAAAAAAGAAAGGCAACATTTAACAACAGAAAATTCATGAATAACCTGGCATTCGTCGTCCAAATCCATGTTTGCTTGCCACGTGACACGTGAAGTCTTCGGCGGGGGGGGCGGGAAGGGATAATCCCATATATGGATGGGCTAGATACGTAAGTACCGCCTGATAGGGTATGGTTTTTGAGGATCTCGAGCCTTTAATAGGGTATCATATCTCGGAAGAATTGCAAGGTCTTACGAGTTGTATACGCAGGCAACGATAATTTTTTTACCATCTCCATGGTATTTGCTTTAGAGGACTCCTTACAGAAAACAATTGTTTTAAGATGGAATGAGTACTCCTTTTGTTCCTATATGAGACCAAATCAAGTGAGAATAATGGACCAAATGCCCAGCCGGCGCAGTGTAAGAACCCAATTTAGTGCTATAAAAACAGGTACATACGAAGGTATCGGCCAGCAACTAATTGGATTTTGTGGTTAGGTTTCTCTTGTGGTTCGAAGGTTTGCCACTGGTGACGTTTTTTTTTATTTGCAGTAAACATTTTGAATCTTTTCAGGCCTCGTTTGATTAAGTTGGAAGCCACCATTACTTCTTTAAGATTGCTCGTTAGACAAGAACGGTGTACCACGTGTTGTGTCAACGTGTTATAAGATCTAACAAGGAAAGCTTGAACTCTCCTGGCGTCCTTATTCGAATGATGTAGGATGGATGTTACGATTAGCGGAAATTAAATGCTTTTTAATAATGGCTTGTTTGTGTCTAGTGTGTCTAGCTCTGTCTAGACCCTCTACTCTGGCAATGCTCTGTCCAGAGGCACATTCCCGTATTGGCCATATAAGGAAGTACACCCGCCGGGTAACCATTGAATGCAAGCCACCTAGTACAATAGCAAGGTTCAAGAATACAGCATTTCGTAAGTCAGATAACTAACCAACATTAATCTAAAAAAATGTTTAGGACTGTGAATAAAGTTAAATGTTTGAATGAGCGGAGATGTTACGTGCTAGCAGACGTCATCTCCATCTTTGTTTATGAAGTACCATGCATATTTTGGCGTTATATTAATGTTGACGAAGTAAGTTTAATTACTCTCAAAAAGTTATTACAAAGTGCGATGGAATTATTACAAATTGCGACAGCTTAGTTTATTACAAAGTGCGATGGACAGTTACAAATTGCGACAGCTTTTTTATTACAAAGTGCGACACGGTTTATTACAAATTGCGACAGGTATTACAAAGTGCGATGGATTTATTACAAATCGCGACAGGTATTACAAAGTGCGATGATTATTACAAATTGCGACAGTACACACCTGAGCGCGCGCTGCAGTATTCGAAAGGAAGTCAGATTTATATTCGTGGCCAAAACAAAGTTCTGAAGGTTTCCTAACTTTATTTGCTTCGTCAAAAGCAGAATAGAAAGTGAAAATAGACAACACGAAGAGCCTTACATTTATTCAAAAAAGACGAAAACAAGCAAAACGGTCTGACCAGTTTGTTTTCTTTTAATAGGATAGCCAGCGGAGTTCACTTTTGCAGCTTTGGGAGTCGCGTGGTCTCGCGCCCTAATTCCCTTCCCCTTCCCTTTCGAACGCCTGCCACGCAGGCTAGAAGTCGCGCGCTTCATAGAGCATTATGACGCATTATTACTGTCTTCAAAGAATTAAGAGAAACCGCTCAATACCGACATGGATTGGATTTCAAGAAAATTTAGTGCAGGTTTTCAAGAATTTAAAGAGCGAACAAATGTTGGCGGTAATTACGAAGTTTTTGTAATTGTTAATTAGCACTTTCAAAATATGATAGCAAGAACAATTCCGATCTTCCCCTGACAATTACAGGTAGTTTTAATTGCTGTGAGAAGCATGCACTGCACAGGAGATGCGTTCACGTTCAACTTTTTGTATGACTTTTTACTGAGTCATTAAGCTAACTGATTACCATCGCGAGATTTTATCAAAATAGGTATCGGGGTAAATCTTTACTACTAGGAAATGAGGTGTGATCCAGCTCGTGATCAAAACTTTGTAGAAGTCATTTTAATCAAGGGTGAGTACGGGTCTTTCTTCACTTTCTTACTTCTGAAGTCGCGCACGAAATACATGTTGCGGAGAAACAAGAGGAAACTGACAAAGCTGGTTTATAATATAGAAATGCGTAAAAACACACTTGAATTGTTAGTCTCTTAAGTCTAAGATTTACCCTGATGATTTTTCCCTTATAGTGGTCTTAACCTACAGAAGGTTGAACAAACGTCTTTTTTGCGCATTCGCCGGTTCAAATTCGCCCCCACCCCGTCCCTCCCCGCTACCCAAGAAAAGGTCAAATTCTTCACTGCCCTGGCACAAGTGATAGTCAAATGCCCGGTGGGATGTTGAAGTTCTGAATTGATTGGCATATTAAATTGAAAAAGAGAAAAGCTGTCTCTGCACAAAATTGTGGTTTACGATGTAATATAATGCAAGGGGCCGCCTTTTTGCTCACATTTGAAACTAATAGTGTTGTTCGTCAAGGGAACATAAAACGATGTCAGAAGAAACCAACCTCGTTCCCAGGTTCTCTCTCCTACTGGGGATGGGAAGAAGAGAACTTTGGGAACAAGATGAGAATAAACGGTGTAGACAATGTAGACAGGGCGCCCTAGTTTAGATGTTCAAATCAGTGATACATGCAGTTCAAAAATAGTAGGAAACACCTTAGTTTTTTCACGTGTTGGCTCAAACACTTAGAGCTCGGTGCTTCCCATCGAAAGAGTATTGGCCAGGACTGAACTGTGGTTGGCTATTTAAAAGTACCCAAATCAACCCAACAGTTAATATCAAAGAAAACCTCAGTTGCTGTGAAAACGAAAATTCTATAAAATGCACATTTGACCTTAAAAACTACGTTAATGAATTTGACGTTAATGAAGTACGTGAAAATTGACTTCTTCAGAGACAACAAAACGCATGCTAGTTTCTTATTGTGACTAACACGTCAACTTCTCAGGCCCCTCCTCCTTTTGTAAGACTAATTAATTTCTTCCTAAAACAGGAAGTAATTACTGAAACAATGTCCCGGCACTCTCCACAGTTACTCACTTAGAAGATGTGGGCGCTCTAGTCGATGACAATTTATTTGAGAGAGACATCTTAGTGGCCACAAAGAAGCTTGCTTGTTTGTCAAATCTCTCAGAGAGAATACAAGGTAAAACTTAGGTACGATTAGCTACAGCATTGCGCGTAATAGTTGTACGTGACAGTTCTTTTCTATATTATACTAGTGCCTTGAAATTTTTTGTCTTAATATTTTTAAACGATTATATTTGTCGTTAAGCTCGAAGTTGCTAACCTCTGGAAATGAGAGGATTGATTAAAAGAGCAAATACAAGACTGCAGGGGTTTCAATAAGCACCGACGTCCGACGAAAAGCGTCGGCCACTTTTTTCTAGAATGAGGAAGCAGCTAGTTTGAATAGGGTTGTGAACAAAAATATATCATGATCTGAAAGATGAAAGCGTAATTATGATGTGTTTTTATGAGGCTCACTGGTTTTACGTTATGCTTTAGGAATGTGAACGCTTTATTTCAGTGATTTTTTCAAAAGTCACTTTATAGGTTTACGCAGAATTCGTTTGCGTGCAAAAGTACTTAATTTAGTTTTCATCATTTGTACATTGCTTGCAGGAATTGATTGTGTGACTGATAAATTGAAAGCTAGATTTTCTTGAATGAAAAACACACTCTTTTTTCCTCAAATTTAGTCCCCAGACCGCTGAAAATACCATTTTAGGGCTTTGAAGGTTCAAAATTTTCTGTAGAAGAACGCGCACAGACAACCTCCTTCCCCCTCCCCCCTAGATAAAGGGACTAACGGCCTCTTGTTGATACAGTCGGTTACTCTATTCAAACTTACTCTGGCTACTCCAGTTTTTATTGAAACCCCTGAGACTAAATGACAAAGATTAAAAAATGCTGGTAAAACCATAGCTCAGTTAGTTGGTCACAGTTTGCTTACTGAAAAACAAAAATTGACTTAGAGTAAAAGCGGGAACAAATCTGGAAAAGTTATAACGGCAAACCAAAATTCGATTGCCGTTAGGAGAAATGATAAAACGTTTTAAATATGAGTTAAGGTTTAGGTACTAAAAAAATGGCTTCTTGCGTAGTTTTCGAAGCCAAGCCTCGCACTTTTTAAAGAAACCTGTAAAAAGTGGTTTCTCGAAACAACTTTCACGGCAGAGAATGAAACCCCTTCTGAGTGTTCACAAAATCAGACATATAATTAGAAGCAGCCTTAATCAGTGCCATTTGTAACAAAGTTCAGTGTAATGCAGTTCCGGAGTTTTCATCGGCCCAGTTAATTGCCACGACCGACGATCGGCTGCTCATGATCACGCCTCGACCTTTATAAAATGGGAGATCAGCAATACCCAGTTCCATTCCTTGTTACCACTTGACTGGCACCAGGGAAAACAGAGACTTTTGTTTCCCCGAGGTCAATCGACGGGACGACGAGGAGAACTTTAAAGGGGAAACTCTTGCTGATCAGGGCTTTATAGGTCCTACGTTCTTCGGCATATTCGTTTGCGGTCCTTTGCAGTCCTTTGTGGTTAATGTTTGTACTTAATGTATTCTGGGGCCGTAGATCTTTTATAGATCCGATATATATGCCGTAATTCTTATATGGCTCTGTCCATGTTTTAGAGGTTGGTTTTGGCCAATTCTTTATTTTCTCCGTGTGACATCAACTTGACACTTGGACTCTTAGAAGACATGTGGCATGGCGTGATTCTGTGGCTGTTGAGAGTTCTAGGTCAGGGCTTAAACGTAAGAGTGCGCGGATATTTTTCATAAGGGATTTCTCTGGTTGTTACGCCATACTGACGAGCCCCAAAGAGGGCGAACCAAACCTCTGTTTCAAAGAGAGGCTAAGTCCAAAGCTATTGATATGAAAATAATTTTTCCACATGAAAGGTTTTGCACTTAGCCTCGTTTTGAAAGTGAGAGTTTTACGAACTCGGAAATGGCCTATTAAATTCTCAATCGGCTGAGTCTGCACAGTAACGCTGAAAAATATCATAGCAGTTTTCGAAGTGCCTTTCAGCAGACGACTATCGCCACAAAACCAGTAAAAATAACACTTGCACTTCACAGTGATAAATGAACAAAGGAGTTCTCTTTATTACAATCAACGTTTGTATGGAAATTAAAGCACCTCTTTCGCTTTAGACGTACAGCGCCAACTAAATGACTATAATAACGAATGTAATATTTGTCTTTTTCCGTGGAATATTGTTATAATCCGTTTAAACAGTAGCATGTTTTGGATGAACGTCGTATTCTTCATCTTCATCTTCTAATGGTTCAGCGGACAAAGACGATGGTGCACCTTCGGGTATTTCATTCAGGAACATGTCCTTTTTTAGATCAGCAGGGTTGATATCGTTATCGTCCATCTGCAATCCGCTGCGGCGACGACGGCGACGTCTTCGCCAAGCATCGCTGGAAAACCCAGAATAAATATGAACTTATTTTTTTGTTGTTGTCTTATCGTTTCCATCAAAATATCTAATTATCCTTAACTTGTATTTAAAAAAAACGTGTAAAACAAGGTTATGAAACTTTGGGTTTATTATACGTACCAGTAAGCACTTTCGGTTCTGTCGACCGCAGATTTCTATTTGTGAATGGTAAGGAGAAAAGAGTGAAGCCTGATTTTCAATTTTCTCTTTAAAATCCTAAATCGAATTGCGTTTACATGAACTTTCGCCTGTGACACCTAACATTGACACCAACAGTAGGTTTCCAACCGTTACATTCAGAGAAACTCTCAAGTCTATACATTTAAGGCACTGTAAGGTAATCTGTCTTACCTGTCATCAAGAAACAGAGATGCAACAACAAACATCAACAGAACTGCAACCCAGAACTTGTTCATTGTAATACCTGCTGTAAAAATAACTAAAATTTAATCAGTGATACTATATTCAGTAAAACAAAAAAATTAAGAGGTTTTTTAGAAAAAAAAAAAACGAAGCCAAAGGATGGTGTTAGAAGCGCATGAATTCTAATTCATTAGAAGACAGAGATTAGCCCAAAGGGAAAAGGGAAAGGAAAAGGGAATTTTTCGTGTGCGCGAGAAGAGCGAAGAGCCACTTAGGCTAACAAAGAAATGAAAAATCTAAACCATTATGTCATAAAAACGCTAGAAAACGTCTTCCATCCGGAGAAGGAGTTATTTTTGTTATTCACAGCGCAAATTACAGTGCAAAAACTGGCCGGCAAAACTGATTAAGTACCATGGAAAAATCTAAGCCCGGTCCTATCTAGATTGGCATAGTTAACCGGAACATAGTCGATGAATACAATACGAAAAAGATTCCTCCTTCTTACCTGGCTCTAAGCTGAACGAATGCACCTCTCAACGTTAATCAAACCAGAGGACTTTGGATTGACTTACTGACTTCTTGCTGTACACAGGAGCCATATTTATAATGCTGTTCACTTCTGGGACTTGTTTTGTTTTCAAACACACTTGTCACATTGAAAGCCAGTGTTGACGATTCAGCGGGTTTCCTTTTTTATCAATTAATCTTAAAATTGCAGTATATTATTCCAGTGTTAGTTTAGTGCAAAACAGTGAATACACGAAATGAAGAGCGCGTGCAAGTGTTTGCAGGTGCTTGCTTGGCAATCGTACAGCTGTACCATCTGGTTACATCATTAAAACATCGTTACTAACACCTGATGTGTTCCATCAAATAGCAAAAGAAAAACGGATCTCGAATAACGAAACAGTACTTTTTTTTCGATATGCTAAAGGATTGCATATTGGGTAAAAAAGGGTTTTTTTTACATTCAATGAACACCTCCACATCCTGTCACGCTCCGCCTGTGTTTAAACCTTCAACGATTTTTAACACCTCTTCACGATTTTCACTTATATCATTTTTATGTAAAAAGTACTTAATAGTTTTTAGCTCCTTAGGGAAAAAATTGCAATCTTCAAACAAACGTAACAATTCGAAAATACTGAAAGGACTTGAAACCCTTTTCGCAAAGTAAATATTGCGTCGTCAAATTCGATTCTGTAACTAGTCACACTGACTATCACACCTGTTATCTGGGTGTGTCTCAGCTGCTCAAGAATTCATCCATTTTACTAAAGTTTTGTGTGCTAATGAAGAACTTGTTGACAGAACACATTAAAAAATTCACCAGTAAACCTTTTAAACCGGTCCGGACATACTTTTGAACGAACAAAAACTTTAACCGTACCAGGTTTTTCAAGGGCAGACAGTACTATAATATATAGATTTAGCCAGGACTAAAAACGAAGCTCCTTTTAATATTCATATAGATTCCTCAACGAAAATATAAAATCGAGTAATACTTAAGACAAGTTGAAAGCAACGAGAACGGTAAAAAAGATCTAAATTCACCAAAAAAACAACTTTGCACGTGCAGCACATTTTTTTGTACATTTCCTTGCCTTTATTTTGCACGACTAAAACGTGAAACTTCTTTTAGCTTCCAATTTACACGTTTTATGGAGGAAATGTTTGTGTTTCTGTTCACTTTGTTTTTTCACTGCCGCTTATTTTCACATAGGTAGCCGCTAGCATTTCTCATTTTCTAATCGCTGCTATATAATTTTCATGTTTTTCTTCCAACGAAATTAGTCTCCGTTGTTATTTATTTCTCGCCCCTAGCTCTTTCCCTGTTATCTAAGATAATGAAGACATTAAAACTTACTGGAAAGAAAGACTCATTTCTTTTTTTTTTTTCTCTAAAAGCCCGGACGGCTGGGCGATCTACCGCCGAAACGAGCGAGGTGCTCGAAATGAAAAATTTCACCTCAGCTGTAACATACTCCTCCGCCGACGGGCTGACACTTGTGATTCCCCTCCCTCACCCCTAAAGAGTGCGAGGACGGACGGAGTACGCTGATGTCATAACCAAATTTTCTCGGATGGGTAGATAACTAAATTTTCTTACCCATGGTACTCCGCTGCGCGCGCTTCGCGCGCGAGAGCTCGGTGTAAACCACTAAAATACGCTTTTTGTTGCTATCAACAGCAGTCAAGGATCTGGGCCATCTCTCTTGGTCAGGTAAGAGATAATTCGTTTTTTAAGTTACAAGAGAGAAAGTGAAACAAAGCCACTTTTAATCGCGACAGATCACAAAACCAGAATTTAAAAGATAACAGTCACAGTTTTTGCCACCGTTTTCAAGTCATTTTTTAGATGACAATAACCACACACTTGCTACATTGAAATTATGCCATACTGGCGGAAAATGCGCGGGCATAATAAGACCAGAGGGATGGAGTGGGGAAAGAAACTCAAGGAACTACATCGCAGCCGATATTCGACCAGTTTTGCCTGCGTTCCTGGACTTTTTTCACAGTCTAAGTATCTTATAGATTTTATCTTGCGGAGGAGGAAGCAATTTGGCTTTTTTTTCTTCACTAAAGAGAATTCCCCATGTTTCATGGTAAATCAATCTTCATGTGATATGTGAACTGGACTGGACTATTTAATACAAGAATTTACTCAGGTGTCTGCTGCTTCATTGGTCTTACTAGATTATTACAACCGTGATGATACACACATACTTTATTATAAAATAACTTTAACATGGTGTCCGTAGTCAATTATTTGTAGATTTATCATATTACTACAAATAATGACAGAAAAAAAAAAATCAAAGAGGCTATGACTGATGTACACCTGTAAGAGTTCCTCGTTGTTTGTTGATGATTTTTTTGTTTTTGCTCTCAGGAGGACCGTCCGCTGCCAGATTTGCTGGAAACCAGCTCGTTAACTTACTAAGTCTCCTGAATGATCATAATGAGCCTACTGTTCTAAAAATGGTAGGAAGTCAGTAATACCTAAACTCCGACACATATACCCCGTAGAGGAGAGTGGATTTATATACTTTATCTCTTAACTGCGGTACACTTGTACAACATTGGAAACCTACACATTTCAAAGAGGAGCTAGTTTTTCAAACTGACGGTCTATTAAAGTCAAAGAATAAGTTGATTTTTAAGCATTTGCTCTTTGGTCATACACATATATACTTATGATGATTTAGTACTGCACGATAACTAATTATAAAGTGGTTTAAGTAGTCGCTTTTACATTTTGAAAAAGACTATCCACGCTGTTTTGCTAATTATGTCATATGTAAATATCCATTTAGTTTACAGTTCAAGCAATCAGTGAAATTTGCTGCGCCAACAAGGAAAATCAAGATAAAGCGAGGTATGATAAATTCATTATATTATTATATTATTATGAAGTATCTGCGACTGGCCAATGATGCGAACGATGCGTTGTTAGTGGATTATCCAATCCAGCAAGTGAATAGTCAGACGCGAGACGTTTTTGGATGTACAGCCGAACCGTGCGACCACTCTCATAGCATGTCATAAGCGACTACATATTCAAAACACCAAAATTTTCCCAGACAAAGCACCACTGTTTGGAACCTCTTAACTAATAAACCACTGAACGACCTCCCTTCATAAGCCATCTCGACCACTTTTTGCCCACTATTTGTTTTGAATTCTCGCTTTTTAAAACTTTGTCGCACTTATTCCATCTCGTCGTCAAATATTGGCAAATTCTTCTGGTAATAAATTGTAAAGACTATCTAAGTTCAGGAAAAGAAAAAGAAAGTCGTCGTCTTGTGTTTTCGTCCTCTATAAAACGTGACATTAGCCACTTTCACCTCGTAGTCGTGTAGTGACGGCAAAGAGATGTACGAAAAAGCGTGATCCACGTGCTCATTGCTTTTTTGAGGCCACAGCGAGGGTTTCCAAATGTGGTACTCAGAAATATGAATATTCAAGAGCACTAAACGCGAGTTACACGTTTCCAACCCCTTATGAGTTTCTGTTGTAACTCATAGGTAAGCCAGGCTCTGTGTTAGGGCCACAGTATGATTCCAGTAAATTTACAGTGTTTGTATGGGGTAAAAATACGATCCTTTAATTTGTAGAAAATACTAAACAAATAAAAGTCAATGAAACTTACTCGACTTACTCTGCAGTTATTTTCTGTTGTCCTTAATGCTCTCACGAAGTTTCGTGATAATTTGTCAAATTCACCCTCTATAAAATAACACCAAACTTTAAGGACAAAAACTACTAACTGCAGAGCAAGTTTCATTGGCTTTTATTTAGGATCTTACTGTGGTACGGCTACCACAGAAACTGGCTATCTGTAACTCACAAGTCTTATTTATTCAATGGATAGACTTAGTTGAGGTCAAGAAATATTGATCTTCCCGTTACACCTTGGTATTTGCTGTGGTCACTTACGATACTTAGGTTCTTAATGTTTTTTTTTTACTGCAATTGTTACTGCTTGGTGATGGAGCAGCATATGACCGGCGAGTTTCAGCCCCACAGCTTATCTGCGTCCGAATTCTGTTAAAATATGTCTATCACATCCATTACCAGACTAGTACATTGCCAAATACAAACCCGCTGGTAGTCTTAGCATTTCTCTGAGGATCGATCCCTTTTCGTTGTAGGTTCTACGGATTAATTGACAAACTCACTGAGATGCTATGTACAACTGAACTTGACTTGTCTTCTTTGGTAAGAAAAGAATTTGAGACATGCTTAAATACGCGTACGTTCAACGCATGAAGTTCTCATTATTTATTGACCTTGTTTCGTCGTTAGTCATAACCGTTACAATTTCCTCACATTTGATTGGTGCACAGACAGCCTTATTTTTCACTGACTATTGTGTAGGATTGTAATCGGACAGTTGGCTGTACTGAATTGGACAGTTACACCAGCCAATCACATTTAGTGCACTCGGTTAAATCCACCAATCACAGAATTTATCACAATAACCTTAGCAAGAAAATGCAAGAACTTCTTCCTTACAAAACTTGGAATTTTCCAAAATGGACGAATTTATATGATTTGTAACATTAGACTCGTCGTGTAGTCCAATTGAGTCTGTAATCTACTCGTGATTAAACACTGCTAATCTGGTAATCACTCGTATGATTACAGCCGGATTACAGACCGAATTGGACTCTACTCCGTCCCATTACCATTACTTTACAAACTAATTGTGACAAGTGAGTAAGACTGCCGGCCACAACTGACGTGGATCTGACAATCGTTAACCTGCTGAATCTCGGACGGATGGATAAATACTTTCTTTTTTCGCGTTTTCTAGAGGCGCTCTATTACCGCTTGTTTACTGACGCTCTCTTGTGAGAATCTCGAAAATCAAAAGACTCTTCTTCATACAACTGGACTTCAGGTAATTGATAATATCCCAATAGAAAATACACAGACTAATGTGCATGCACACCAAGCGACACTGCCTACATGGAGCTAGTATCAAATTAGAATTGAGAGATGTCTTTATCATGTAAGAGAGTATATATTGTGGTTACTCTGCTGTTAACTGTAGGAGCACTTGGCCTCAGTCTCTTTTGAAAACTGGAGTGCTTGGGAGGAGAATGAAGCTGCTCAGTTGATGAAGTTTCTTGGGCTTGATCGGACAGGTGAGCGATTTGATATAGGTGCGCAATCATTATATAAATGTTCATGTTGTGTAACCACAATAAAGATTTTTCTAGCCTGTTCACAGACCCTCTATTTTCTCTTCTCAGTCCGTCGAGCGCGCGTGATAAAAAACAAAAAACCGCGGGGGATTTATTGACCGCCAGCGCAAGAGGGTAGGGGTGGGGGAAGACGAAATTAGACGCTCTCCGCTCTCCGCTCTCCGCACTCGTTCTCGCGCTCGTTCTCGCGCTGGCCGATGTTTTGGAAAAGAACGAAAAGAAAAATAAAACAACGTCTGTGAAAAGGCTACGATTTTTCAATCGCACTCAGTTGGATTTCAGCATCCCGCACTTTACAGTTTCTAAATTTCTTAAGGTAATTGCCAAACCAAACAGTCGGAAACAAGAAGAATTAACGGGATAAAATAGAACGATACTGTTCGATTGAAACAAGTTTCCAGTCGAATCGAAGCGATCCATTGGCGTTTCGACCGAAATTGAAAGACTGAAAACGAAAGTTTAGGTCCGACTGATCAAAGAGGACTAGCCTGCGATTGAGCAAGCTCTCCCGGAGTGCTCTGGCGGCGAGGCAAATCAAAGAAAGACTATCGTCAACTCGTGGGTACGTTGTTTAGAAAGTAATCAATTAGTTATCACCACTGGTTTTCCCACAGTGAATTTTAGGAAATGATAGAAATTCATATTATAAATATACTATCCTTGTTCTGGAAACACAATACTTTTCTTGCTGTTTATTGCACTTTAGTAACAGTTATTTAACTATATTTAAAAACAAAACAAAAAAAAAACAGCAAAACAAAATAAGCAAACAAGACAAAACAAAAAAGAAAAAAAAAAAGGAAGAAGGGAAAAAGAAGGTCTTAGCAGGATTTGAACCCGCTACCTTCGGTTTGACCCGACTTCACACAGCCACTACGCCATTGAGGATGGTCACGTGATTTAGCGAAAAGTCTCAGATTTAATGCTTTTTCCATGGAACTTCCGCCGGCAAACGATCGAGCCATAAAAACGACTCGAAGCAATGGGATGAAATTAAGGCTAATTGCAACCAGGCTACTGACAGTAAAAAACAATAAAAATGTAAACGCATTTCATGGCAATGAATCGAAAGAACATATGCGATACAAAGCCGACACAACTCCTCCGCGAAGTAGGACGTAAAACATTAGCTTATGTTTCCTTATCTCGAAGAAGAAGAAGAAGAAGAAGAAGAAGAAGAAGTGCCTTTCTTTACCATACATTTCACCAGTCCGTATTTTATAGTCCGTATTTTATACCCAGACCGCAGTCCGTAGTCCGCAGTCCGTGTTTTATACTGACCGCCAAAAATTCATTCATACACATAACCTACTACATTACTACAAGGTAGGAGATCAAGCCAGCGTCGAAGTTGAAGGAGTCGAAGAGCAAATGTTCATCTTCTTGTCAAGTTTAACGCCTGGACGGGTCAAAGGCTTTTGAATCGTACAAATTTGAAAGATTCCTGCCTGTCTTAAATTTGGTAAGACCTCTATCCTAACCGTGTTGTAGCGCACGATGCACGCTCGCAGCGAGGAATTTGATGCTACCGAACTTCGGCGAGCGCGTGCTTCTTTGGAAACGATAGATCTTCGCGCTCTCGAGTTCGGACCCGATTAATTACGAAGTGCGTCTACTAGGAGTGAGTGAGTGACTCATTTGCATATCTCAGTCCCTGCAATAACTCGTGGTACGCTCGCGCGTACCCACGAGTTAAAAATGAGGGAGAACCCCAGAAGAGCCTGCTCGCGGGATAGAGGGGACCTTCACTGGGGGTGGACCACTTTGACGGAAAAATTTCGACTCGAACCGAAGCGTTCCATTTATTTCTCGATAGAGTTTTGCCATAATGGAAAGCAGCCGTTGTCTTCTCGAGTCGGGAGCGGTTCTATTTTCTTCAACCGTCCCAGATTTTTCCATGGTCAGCGATAATATTAATTCGCCTCGGTATTACACCCAGTCTGATCATGAAAATGTAGTTAAAAAAATTGTCGCAAATTCACTGAAACCTACAAAAAAGGAGAAGACGGAAAAAAGCCCTAAAATCATACGTAAGGAGCAAAGGAAATAACATCCGGGTGGAAAGGAAGGAAAAAGAAAAAAAAAAGTAATTTTTTGAACTCTCAGTTTTTATATTGGCCACTTTGGAGGTCTCTTTTAGCTGACCAGATAGTTATGACAAGATATGAAATTTATAATATTTGAACTGCGTAGTAAAGCGAATTTAAAAAACACTGGAATAATCCTTGCAGTTCTTTTACACAACCGAAGGGGCTAAATCACACCATTTGTTATAAGTATATTATTAAAAAGATGAAACCTGTCTTTGCATCAATTGAAATCTAAACTCAAACTGTTTTCTGTCGTCTGTTATATTTACGGATGGCAACTAAGTTCTCCCTGAAGAAATTTGTTTGACATCTTCATAACTCCACAGGAGCTTTTTGTGTATGGCCGGCAGTAAGCACCAAGAGCACAGAATTCATCAAAGGCCTAGCTTGCAGTGCAGGCGTATTTTGGGTGGGCGAAAGCTGCTTGGTTTTGTTCGTACTGTTGTAACCGCTATCTTTGATGTTATGACGGAGGAAGATTAGGTTGCCCAATTTTCTCCTCTCTTTTCGAGTTTCAACATTGCGCTTTCGCGAGCAAAACATTCGCCCGCCCGATGAAAATGCCTGCACTGCAGGCTATCAAAGGCCAGTTTCAGACGCTGAACTTTTCAGTCGATGTAATTTTAAAGCCGGAAAATTTCCGTTTTTTCACAAGTGTATCCACAGCATTTGGGACAGACATCTGAGGTTCTTTCTGGTATCTGGCATAGTCGGAAATGGTAAACTCCCTCGTCCCTTCCGGATCACTTCCATTCCCGATATATGAACTTACCATCACACGGAACCGGACGAATTTTGGACGGGTGGAAAATTCGTGCGTTTCGTTGTTCCGTTCACACAAAATTTAGACGCATAGCCGTTCAAAGGTCCATGTGAACAGAGCCAAAATATTAAACGGCCCCGCGAACGTAGTCATAGATTTTGAGTAGTAGCTCCAAAACCAAAATTGATAAACTACAACTGGAATCCAATTTCGAAAACCTCCTAATAATTCGAACCAAAACCCACTTCTCTGCTATAATTTCACGTCCGAATCAAATTTCGTTCTCCTTGGACATTCGAAAAATCAGGATTCCACGTTTTAGTTTAACCTGCGTGAAAGGTGGTCGAAAGGGAAGGGAAAGGAAAGGACATTTTGGGCGCGCAGGCGCAGGCTACTTTGAAGGTCATACGCAGACGGAGACTATTTGTTTTCCAGAATCAACCCTTCTACCGGGAAAGCTGAAGCTTTTCCGGCCATTAACCCGCGAAACAGGACCAAAAAAGCGGGAAATAACCACATCTTTTCTTTACAGTTGACAGGGGGTCCAGATGGTCAAAGATGAGAGAACCGGGTTCTAGACTTGCCGGGGAGGCATACGCATCTAGCATTCCACATAGCGACTGATTTTAAAGACAAAACTACTGTGACACATAGAATCAGATGTCAGAAATGATTATACATTTATTTTGAAGCCCTTAAAAATATATACAATGGGCAACACAAACGTTTCTTTGTCTCGTGAGCTCTTAGAGGCCTACAACTATTCAGTCGATCAATTTAACAAGAAACTTGCACCAAGAATGGTGCTATTTTCAGTTTCTCCGTCATTTTTAAAAAGCATTACAGTGTAACACGTTTTCGATGGCTGTAATGATTAAAAATAATACAAATATGAAAACGAAACTGCATAAAATCTATGTCACCTGTAAAAAAGCGATTTTAATACCTTAATTACTTAAAAATGCCCCACGTTTTTAACCTTGAAAATCCTCGAACAGTGTTTTTTTTTTTTTCATATAAGATGATCTCCAGTTTTTTGTCCAATTAACTTTCTCTGGTGTCACTAATTCGATCACTTAAAATGTTTGATTATATGAAGCCTGAAAAAAGAAACACCTCTTTACAGACATAAGATTATAAAGCGAGCTTTGCACGTTTCCTTTGTCTATTCGCACTTCAGGGATAAATAAAATCAACATAATAGTATGTATGTTACACGTGTATAAATGGAATGTAATGTAATGTTCACTGCGAACTCATGAACGCTTCGTGCTTCGTGTCACACGCGAAGTACTCTCCATCTCCTGCTTACATTGCCTAGTTGATCGGGTGTTTTTTGCTGATTTGGTTTGCCTAGAATTGTTTGTCACTGTTGCTGTCACCTCAGCTGGACTCGTGTTGCGTGTACGTCTTGTTGATCTGCCTGCGTGAGTATTTTCTTGAATTTCCTGACTACTTGCGCTCGGCATGGGATCGGACTCCTTAACAACAGGATCGCTTGAGGCGTTGCGTTTCGACTCGCGTTTTGGCCGAGTTTTCTTCACGAGACTATCTTGATGTGCTTTAGTAGTTTCTTCAAGAATGATCTTCTCGGGTTTACTGTTCCTTGTACTTCTTTTTGAACTAGAATATTCTTCACTGTTTTGACTTGGTGCGGATTTAGTACTCTTCGAAACAGGAGCATTTTTTTCAACTATTTTAGACCGCCGTTTAGATCGCCTCGCTTCATTAATGACTGGTTTTTCCTCATGAGGGAGAACTTCAGCTCTTCGGCTACGGGTTACTCTTTCTTCTTTCGGTGACGACACTTCATTTTCGTCCACTTTGACGTCTAGATTCGATTCTTCTTGAATTTTCTTCTCACGTGTTACCAGAGGACCTGGTTTAACCCCACGTTTTCGTCGTGTTAACTTGACAACACTCTCTTGCCCAGCTTTCTCTTCACTGGTGAGATTCTCGGCCTGACTGTTTCGCGTACGTCTTCTAGAACTACTATCTTCACTCCTTTGAGTTGCTGTGGATTCAGACTTCAAATCAGAAACGTTTTCTTCAACTGTTTTAGACCGGCCACGTTTAGACCGTCTGGTCAATTCAACATTTGTTTGTTTTCTTTCTGGAGGTATAACTTCGGCTCTTCGGTTACGGGTAACTCGAGGCTTAACTGGTGATGACAATGTCTTGCCTTCGACTTCACTGTCTTCTTTCGATTTTTCTTCAACTTTTTTCTGATGTGTTACTACACTACCGGCTTTACGTCCTTCATCTCGCTTACTTTTCTTAGCTGAACGGCCCTCGTCTGCGTCTTCTCTATTAGACTCCTCCGAGGAAGACTCAACTTCGCTTCGACCGCGCTTGCCACGGCGACAACTCGGTAAGGAAGAACCTACCGTTTTTGTCTCTTTAACAGCTGTTCTTCTCGTTTGCCTCTTCTCTTGTGGAGCATCGTTCTTCTCTATTTGGGTAACAGGAGTTAAGGTAACAGGCTGTTGCATGTTGTCGAACGATTGCAGCCCTGGGGAAGGAACCTCAAAAATAGGGTCCAGTGGTGTGCGCTTAAAAACATTTCGTTTGGGGGTCTGCTTGTTAGCTGCTGGATTCTTCTTAACTCGTGCACTCGTCTTCTTCTCAGCTGCTTTAGGATTATTCTCAGACTCGCTTTCCTTTTCCTGCTGGATTGATGCCCGAGTACGGCGAACTCTTTTAGGCTCCGGTACGGTTAAACCTTTAGGTGCAGTTCGTTTGGCTCTTGTTATTCTTGCAATATTGTCTTCTTTTTCATCCATTTTTTCTTGGGCCTCCGGCGAAGTTAGGTCTAAAACTGGTATAGAGAGTCTGGAGTTTTTTGTCTTCTGACCTGCTGGCTTGGGATCGGTCTTAGCTGGCGAAGAGTCTGCTTCTGCTGAGGCAAACAGTTCTGGGTTGAAATTGTCCTCAAGATCTACAGTTTCAGTAGCTTTAGGTGTTCTCATAAGGTTCCTGAGACCAACAAAATGCGGACTGGCGAAGTCTTTTGTCTCTTGCATTAGTGCTTTTAGGCCGTTCAACTTAGGGCTTCCCATAGTAGTTACACCATTTTCAACTGGTGTCCTAAGCAATCGAGCAACTCCTTGTAAGCCTTCGCTCTTACGTGAGAAACGTTTGGGTTGCGGTTTGGGCGATGTGAACAAGCTAGCTTCAAAGAGATCCTCAGAATTTTCGACGGAGTGGGTCTGTTTCGGAGACTTCAGTAAGCGCCTTAGTCCTTGAAGACCGAGACTTTGCCGGTCTTTTCTCTGTTTTCCAACGCTCTTTAACAAGACTGTTTCAGCTTCATCTGCCGGACGAAAAGACGGAGTTTGTTTTGACTCTAATGGCGACACAAAGTCTAGTTGAAGCGCGGGGGATTCATTGGTCTCAATAGACGACTGCTTCTTCGCGGAACGTAAAGATGGAGTACGAGACAGGTGAACTGGAGTAACGAATTGGAGAGAGACAACCTCTTCGGCTGAGTGGCGAAGGGAAGGCGTTTTACTCAATTTCAAAGGTTCAATGACATGAAGCATCGTCTGTGGGGAAGTGCCATCTGCATTCACTGAGGGAAGCGAAGCGTTGGAATTTTGTTTAGGAGTTGCCACTTTAACATCTCGAGTGTCCTCACATCTTCGTAAAGATGGCGTATTGGCTGGTTTGACAGCTGCTATCGAGTGTAATCCTTGTTCGCCAGGAGTTGCAGCTTTCTCGACAGATGACCCTGTGAATCTACCAACGGATGGAGGCGTAACAAACATTTCAGCGATTCCAGCCAGATCTTCAGTTGATATGCCCACACGTCTACGTGGGCCATTGGTAACCTTCGCTAGACTTGACAACCAATTTCCCTTCGTTTGCTTCTTTGGGGGGTTTTCAGCAGCTACCAGAGATGCCGGTGGTGTAGCAAACATTTCTGCCACACCTTCAAAGTCTTCCATGGGAGCACTGTGTGTTTTAGCATCCTTTAAGGCTAGTCCAAGGCTTGACATCCAGTTAGCGCTTTTCCGTCGAGGCGTTTTCTTCTCGTTAAAACTGGTGCTATTGCGTCTTTCTTTCGATTGACCTCCACTCTGTGCGTTCCTTGAGGCTTCTGCGTAAAATTAAATTAAGCAAAATATTTTACGGTCTGGTACAGGTAGACCACGCTTTTGTGGTAAGCAGTCGAGAGCTTTCCACACACTATAGCTTACTTTTAAGTTACTGACAGTTTTCTTTTTAGAAGGGCATAGACTTGAACAACTGAAAAATGTTCCAATCGAAAGTACAGGGCAGAACAGGGGCGTAGCCAGGGGGGGGTTCCAGGGCCTGATTTTTGTCACTACGAAACGTACGAAAGCTGACTTGAATTCACAGCAATTAAAGCACTTTGGTTTGGTTTGAATTTCCGATGACTCACATTTCAAAATTTCTTGTCGGGGGGTGGGGGGAGCTCCCTAACAAAGAGCGTTTCCGGCGCTCGGTTGTCAATCGGGCCAGCAATACTACATTAGGAACCCCCCTGTGCAAAATGGCTGGCTACGCCCCTAATTTTTGTTTAAATACACTCGAAATGTCTCTGTGGGGCTACCATTTATTAAGCAGAAATGGTAGACCCAATTGAAGCAATGTTCACTAAGGAGAACACAATGAACAGGGGTTTCAATAAAATTGAAGCAGGCAGCAGGTTTGAATAGAGTAACCGACTATATCAACAAGGACCCCCCGCACTAGTCCCCCTCTTCTAGGAGGGTCTGGGAATAAAAAATGTTGAAATTGAAAAGCCCCAAAATGCGATTTCTTGCGTTCATTCAGTTTCGATTTATCAGCCACACAATCAACTCCTTCCAACAAAGAACAAATGACGATAATCAAATAAGGTACATTTGCATGTGAACAAATTCCGTGTAAACCTATAAATAAACGTGTGAAATATTGACTGAACTACAGCGTTCACATAATAGGCCTTTGTGAAAACACATAATGATGTTTCCAACAGACTCTATGATATATTATTTGTTTACGAAGTTATTAAAACTAGTTGCTTCTTCTTTCGGGAAAAAAGGAGCCGACTTCTTCGAGCAAAGTAGCCGACGTGTTTCGTCGGTCATGGGTGCGTGATTGAAATCCCTGAATGAATGAAATTAAATCCCCTTGAGCTTTATATCCGTTCAGATGGATCTGACTGACGACACATGATTTGAACTTGTGGAGACGGGGCAGCCATCAGACACACGCAAAGCCACTTTTGCGAGTGGATTTTGCAGGGTGAAAGGCTGCAGTACCTTCATTCTCAATTAATTTAAGACCCTGAGTATTGATCTAGTTCTGGGAATTGAACGCGCACTCGCATTCTTCAGGCTAGCGCTTTACCGACAGAGGTTACCCGGCTACGGTTTAACTAAGGACAAGATGTAATTAGTTCTAGAAATACCAACTGCTTACTACCTACCTGGTCTAGTAAGAACACCAGAAGTCGTAGCGAGTGGGGCAGAATCCATCTACATAAACAAAGAAAACGCTATTAACTTGATTGATCAGTCTCATATAATCAAAGAGATTACAAGACTAAGTTTATACACTTGGAAAGATCATCTCTTTTTATTCAGCAAAAGATCATCGCAGTTCAATGTACCCAACTTAAGCAGTTGGGAAAAGAAAGCATGAAAAAAATACGGGCTTAACTTGAACTCAAATGAGAAAGCATCCTACCGGTCGCAATCATTAAATCCTACACCGACTACAGAACATGAGGGCGCTATCCTGTTGCTCCTTTCTAAATCTAATTTGAAGTAGGAGAAAAAGTTGCAAGATAATCCGGCATATTTTGACCAAAAAACGTCTTACAACGTTACACGCAAAAGCCAAAAGTGTAGAAATTGTTTGCAAATAAAGACATTAACCTGCAGTATGTAGGTAATTTACCTTGGTTATTTCCTGTCGCGGGCCAGTTCGCTTCTTAAGCCGTCTTTTCACAATCTCTGCATATGTAGGTTTCCGTGGTACAGTCTTGGTCAGAACCGTGGCAGCTATAGACTTTCGACGAATGGCTCTCAGAGTGGGTTTAGCATGGATCTGTTTGCGAAGTGGGGTGGCCATACGTTGTCGAGTTGGACGTAGCTTTTTGCCCGCAACAATTTCTTTCCTTAGAGGCGTCTTTAAGGCTGGTCGTATTTGCCTAGTATTTTGCCCTTCGTTACTGTCGGCACTCCCATTGATAGGTGATAATTTGAGCTTCTTTCTCTGACTTCCGTCTTCACTTCTCTTTCTCTTTGAAGACGTTTTAACATGCTTCAGTACTATTCCCTCTTCAACTTGCTTCCTAACTGGGGTTGGTAAACTCTTCTTTGTGGACTTTAATTTCTTTCCTTTGATAATCTCAATTTGCAGTTCCAAGTTCATGGTTTGCTTTGTTTTTCGGAGCTTTGAACCTCTCTTGATTTCATCTTGGAGTCGAGAATTCATGGTTTTCTTGGTCAGACGCAGATTAGGTCTCGACGCAATCTCGTTTCTAACTGGTGTGGGTAACTTGTTCCTGGTCTGACGAAGACTGATCCCCTCCTCAATTTCCATTTTTAAAGGTGTGGCGATCTTCTTCATGGTCTGACGGAGCTCGACTCCCCTTATAATCTCCTCTTGCAATGACGTGTCCATCTTCTTTTTGGTTTGCCGGAGCTGTACTCCATTTGCAATCTCTTCTCTCAAAGGGGTAGTCATCTTCTTTTTGGACTGCCGAAGCTGGACACCACTTGTTATCTCTTTCCTTAAAGGTGTGGGCATCTTGTTCTTGGTTTGTCTTAGCTTCACCCCTGTTAAAATTTCCTTTCGTAACGGTGTGGCCATCTTCTTCTTTGTCTCTCGCAACTTAACTCCACCTTTAATCTCTTGTTTCAAAGGTGTAGCTATTTTCTTTTTGGTCTGTCGAAGCTGCACTCCACTTTTAATCTCCTTTTGCACAGGCGTTGCCATCTTTCTTTTGGTTTGTCGAAGCTGAATTCCACTGATGATCTCCTTTCGTAAGGGTGTGGCCATTTTCTTTTTTGTCTTTCGCAGCTGCACTCCACTTTTGATCTCCCTTCGCAAAGGCGTAGCAAGTTTCTTTTTGGTCTGACGAAGCTGAAATCCACTAATAATCTCCATTCGTAACGGTGTGGCCATCTTTTTCTTCGTCTGTCGTAGTTTCAGTCCACGTTTAATCTCTGCTCGCAAAGGCGTAGCCATTTTATTCTTTAGTTCTTGCAATTCGGCATCTATTGTCTCTACCATTTGGTGGTCTGTTTTCTCGAATTCATCCTGCTCTTCATCAGAAGTATAGTTGTCACTATCAAGCATGACCTCTTCTATTTTTTCTTTCATACTCTGGACTGGACTTGCTACTGAAGACGGCACATTAGGGCTAGAAGAAAGCTCGGTAAAACTAGTATTTTTTGCCGCTAGTCTGAGTGATGATCGTCTACGAATGGGATTGTTACCTTCCTTAATTTCACTAAGTTCGGATTCTTTAGGTGAAGCATACTCCTGTCCATGTCCAAGGCTTTGAGGACTTTCAACAACTTGTTCACCCAGATTCTTAGATAATTCTGTATTTTCATCAGGAGTGTAAACATCCCTTTTGATTTTCTGCTGCTGTTTCCGTGTCTTAGGCGATTCATTATCCAAGGGTTCTCCGCCATCACATTCTTCTTGGATGGATTCTGATTGTGGCAAAGCAGCAACTGATCTTCTTTTTTTTGCCGAGAAAGGTAAGGGCACAAGAGAATTATCATCAGATAAAGAAGCTCTCCCTGGAGTTGCTCCACGTCTCAGTGGAGTAGCAGGGGGCAGGTCTTTGTCAAACTGCTCTGGACTAAGAACTGGTCCAAACGAGACCCTCTTAGAACGCCTCTTTTGCTCCTTGCTGGACTTTGTTTTAATAACATGTTGAATATCAGCAGCATCTTCCTTGCTTGGTTCTGTATTTACATCTACCATGGAAAAGGGAGTTTTTTGAGGAACACGTGATGCTAAATCCTCATCTTCCTCTTGTAATGGCATAGAATGCCTGCGAAGAATATGTATGTTTTCTTTTAAGCTTTCCTTTGCAGGCGGAGTCCTAGGGCTACCTCCAGGTGTAGGCATTTTTGGTGTTTTTTGCTCTGTGGGTGTGTTTGATAAGTTGTAATGAATCTGCAACAGAGATACAAAGGTGGTTTGATCATCAATATTAGAACCTCGGCTAACGAACAACTCCCGTGAGTGAAGAATACCAATTTTGCATGCTATCAAGAATTCTCAATCTGATTGGCTATAAACGCCCTCACTATCGTTCTTTTGGGGCGTCACGCAATCCTCCCCAGCGTCTTAACAACCAAAAATGGGAACTTCTTCCACAAATGGTTTATGGGATATTTCTAAGGATGAAGCAGATAAGCTTAAAAATCATGTAGCCCCAGAAAAAAAAACTACAGTGCCTAAAAAAGGAATGAACATTATAATTATAGTAACAAGAACCATTAGTTGGTTTCAACTACAGCAACTACTAGATAAAGAGTTGGACAGCACGACTCGGCGCTGTGCGCCTCGTTAGGCCATCCCCATAAAATGTTTAATTTCCCATCGCCCGAACGACCCATTTTTTAAGTAAAAAAAAAAAAAATTCCAGAATCACTTGTAAAGAAGCAAGTACTCTAATTTACAAGCACACGATCTTGTCTTATTAACACCAATTGTCTAAATTATCATTTTGTAGCCTTTTTACAGATTTGATAGTCCTGTTAATATACATCTTTTACCATCTGATTATATCTTGCAGACTAAACGTGAGATTTAATATGCAATCATGTGTTCATTCTCTTTTTTTTTTTGCCCGACCGACCGACCCACCTTCACGAGAGGAAGGGCGATGGGAAACGAAACATTTTATGGGGATGGCCTTACCTATTCGTTTACAGAAAAGGTTTGAACACGTCTACATTTTGGAAGAGATTCATTGCATGCAATTTTTAAGTTGCACACTAAACCGTTCCGTGGATACTATGAGTAGTGCAGTACATGTGCATTCAGCCAATATAAAAAGGTCGCTTACAAGAGGGTAAAAACAATGGAAAATTTTAAAAATGAGAGATTCCTACTGTAGTGATTTGACTGGGAGGAAAATTTTGATGTTTGGATTGGTGATAGAGGTTCGACTGCATGAAAATTGTAACCCCCTCCTCCCTGGCAATAGTAATTTTTAAAATTCACTCCCTCCCCGATCTCACCCAGACCAAGCTGTTAAGGTGTTTTTTCCGCCTTGGAAGGAAGGGAGGATACTATGGGAAACAAATAGTTCGGTAAGGTAGAAATAGTTGACGAGGTCCTGGGGCAAGCTTGATGACATAGGATTTAATACTATTCAATATGGATAAGGGGACAACCACATCTGGCAAATGGCGGTGTGAAGTTTAAGAAAGGTAATGAAGGGAAAGTACTATACATGTAGACCTTAACTCCAGGGTCTTGATAACAATGAAATTTTCTAATATCTGGAGGCTGTTTTACAGAGGAACACATAAGAAATGTACAGCATGAGGTCAACGAACCGGAAACACGATCTTTTTGTCTACTATGGATGTGCTTGGGTTAACAACTTTCACATAGAATGCCAATCCTGTGTCATAAATTTTCGACCCCCTACTACATTTTATTGATTTTCCAAGAGTGACGCTTCAAATAAAGCCTTTTCAAAAATATTGCCCCCTCCAAACCCTCCACCCTCATCTGGAACGTATTAAAATAAAAGATCAGGAAAAAAACGTTCTCCCCTAAAAAAAATTGCTATTCCTCTTAATAAGTTTTGAATTTTCTCTAACAGTAACTCAGGGAGCAACTGTAGGGATTAATTAAGGGTTAGGAGTCAAGGACATTTCAAGGATTTTCCCTGACCAATACTGTTCCTAATGGTAAAAAGCTTTCAAATGACAGCTGCCAAAATTTTAACAACTTTATTGCCAAAACAATAACAAATCAAAAAAGTAAAATAAAAGTTAAGTGAGAAAGAAATGAACAATTGAATATTACCATAACAGAAAAAAATTACTTGGCTATGTACGGCTTCTACGCTGCTCATAATGCAGGTAATTAGAGTTCGGATGCATAACAATTTAGAATATTTTCAATATAAGAGGCACTCAGATTTAAGATATTTGGATCGCACATGGACATGATATATACCTATTACAAAGGGGGCAAAGCCTCTCAACTCTGGGTATTTTCTTGTAGCGCCCAGATTCAATAGGATAGCAAGTGGCAAGAAATTCGCATTTTGTTACTGCCACTCTTGTCTTAACGTTCTTTATTAAATCAAGATAAGATTCAAATCGGACTTTGTTTTTCACTTCAATTAACAGTGCTAGTACGTACAGTAGGAGGGACTAAAGTTTTGACATCAATTTTTGCTTTTGACAATGCATATGAATGGTTTCATATGCAGATTATCAATTTTGAATTCATTATGTACAAATATATTCTTTGTGAGGAAATGCAAGCATTTGTTTGTTTGTTTTCATTTAGCAAACAATATATGCTTTGTTGGAACATTAAAAAAGAATGTAGATTGAATGGTCAGTATATATAGACTGAACTTCACTTGGCTTTTATTAAGTTACTAAGTTTTGTTAGAAACTCACACAATGAATTTACCTAAATTTGGTACTGGTACAAGATTGCAAAAAAAGGGCCTTGTTTGTTCTGTGTGAATTAAATACATTTAAACAAAATTATTATTCACAAATAAAATTAATCTGAATCTGCTTGCATCTGATATAACTTTAAAATTGCTTTAAATGTAAATATTGCACGGGATTCTTTATTTTGACTTGAAGATAAATGCTTTTCTTCACCTTTTGCTGGGTATCAAAATTCAGTTTTAATTAAAGGTTTTCTGCTGCAGTAAGTGTTTGCCGATGTTCTGTAACTAAACTGCAAGTGTTACTTTGATAGCTGTAGCTCTCATTTGCATTTTTTTTTGTTGGAACACAGATTTTTTTAATGTTTAGCTACTTTTCGGTTACAATCAACAAGCTCACCGTGAGCGCCTAAAAATTTGGCAAAAATATAAATAAATATGACTGCTTTGAGCCTTTCTTTTTAGATTTTTGTTGATTCTAAAGTAATTTTTTGGCTTTTTGAAGTAATAACAAAACATCATAATACAGGTCCATTAGGGAAAGTTCATTTAATATGACAAGGGGGGGGGGGATGAAGATCTTGAAACTCGAAGCTTGAAATTTTAGCAGCCCCCCTCGCCAGCGGTTCAATTTTTTAGGAGCCCCCTCCTTGGTAGTCGAAAAAATTTCAGAGCCCCCCCCCCTCCTCCTTCAATTCCTTTGCTCCCCTGAAAAAAGATCGCTAGACTGTATTAAATATATTTACCGTTATTGTCTTCAATGGTTTATACTATGACAAACTTGAGATACCGTTGTGATACAATTTTCTAAAGCATTTTTGGGATGAACAAGAGTGTAATAATTACTGAGACTACATTTGTTATATCTGTAAACCACGTGATATAGCTGAGTTGCAAAGGTAATTAAATTGTTGAGTTGAAAACCATCCGATCTGTATGATGATGTCATGTGTTGGTTTTGAAGTATACAAATTTTCGGAGCCCCCCCTCAATATCTTCATCCCCCCGCTTGTCATATTAAATGAACTTTCCCTTAAGGCAAAATTCTCAATTTAATTTCCTTTATAAAAGCTCTCTTAACTTCATTTGGTAACATACTAACAGATACAACTGCCGAAACCATGCACATTTTTTCCTGTAGGAAACTTTTTAAAACACTTGTAACTGGAATAGGTGACAAATGGGTAGTCTCATCGATTCAGGATAGTGTTCTTGTGTTGGGTATGGCACGATAAAAACATACTGCTGGGTACATGTAAACTTAATTTTGATATGAAATCAAGAAGTCACCCCAGTATGAAACTCTTGCCTGTGTGAGTTTTCTCATGTAAACACCACCTTAGATTGTTATTGCATTAACGAGGCATTAATCTTGGAGGCAGGCCAGGTGATGAAGTTATGTGCCATTTATGAAACTATTATAATTGGTTGGGAAGAATTTACAATTCAGGAAGGTGACCAGTAAGACCTTTCTAGTTATGCTTTGTTAAGTGGTATTAGCAACTGTCGATAAGTTGAAATCAAATACATCTTAAATTTGAATGCAGCCTAGAAAATCTATCTCAAAAATACTTTTGATGAGTAAAAGATAGGGTTGTCAAAAAAGATTCAAGTGAAAGGTGAAAGCTGGAACAGCTATGATGGCTTTACACCTGTACTTCTATGTTTCTTTCTTTTTTTTTCCGGCAAATTGCAGCTGGCAAAACTATATCTTGATAAACTTAACACCAATATCACCAGTTGCCAGCACATTTTGATAATGATCAAATAACTTCATACATGGAAAAACCCTTGTGATGTGTAATAATGCTGGTTTCAAGTGTCACACCATTCGAAATAGACCAAAATAAAAATCAAAACCATTTAATAGATAAAGTCCAGAATCTGGGAAATGAAAGGAGGTACATAATACAAAGACCCTCACCAAGATTCAGGTCAGAGGAATATTTTGTAAACGAGATATCTGAAGAAATGTTTTACCCAAACTTATAGAGATTTGTATGGAGACCCCATGCTGGTGCTCACCTGGATGAGCTCCAACATGGCAGAGGGAAACCAACAGAAACATCTGTTATCGAGTTTTGCTTCAAGAAACTTGTAAACATTAAAGTAATACTTTTTCTAATACATGAACTGTTTAGATAGCAAAATTTCCTGAAATAAGTCATTTTTTTAACCTACATGACAGCTCTCTTGGCCGTAATGTAAATGCAACATCATGCAAAAGCTCAACAAGCTCACCGTGAGCGCCTAAAAATTTGGCAAAAATATAAATAAATATGACTGCTTTGAGCCTTTCTTTTTAGATTTTTGTTGATTCTAAAGTAATTTTTTGGCTTTTTGAAGTAATAACAAAACATCATAATACAGGTCCATTAGGGAAAGTTCATTTAATATGACAAGGGGGATTAAGATATTGAAACTCGAAGCTTGAAATTTTAGCAGCCCCCCCTCGCCAGCGGTTCAATTTTTAGGAGCCCCCTCCTTGGTAGTCGAAAAAATTTCAGAGCCCCCCCCTCCTCCTTCAATTCCTTTGCTCCCCTGAAAAAAGATCGCTAGACTGTATTAAATATAATTTACCGTTATTGTCTTCAATGGTTTATACTATGACAAACTTGAGATACCGTTGTGATACAATTTTCTAAAGCATTTTTGGGATGAACAAGAGTGTAATAATTACTGAGACTACATTTGTTATATCTGTAAACCACGTGATATAGCTGAGTTGCACAGGTCATTAAATTGTTGAGTTGAAAACCATCCGATCTGTATGATGATGTCGTGTGTTGGTTTTGAAGTATACAAATTTTCGGAGCCCCCCTCCTAGCGCAACAATTTTTCAGAGCTCCCCCTTCGGGTGTCCAAAACTTTTCGGAGCCCCCCCTCAATATCTTCATCCCCCCCCCTTGTCATATTAAATGAACTTTCCCTTAAGGCAAAATTCTCAATTTAATTTCCATTATAAAAGCTCTCTTAACTTCATTTGGTAACATACTAACCCGTACGTAACTTGCAGATCTGCCGAAGGCCTTTCTCAGGTCTGTCACAGGTCTGTTCAGTCATACAGCAGACCAATTTGACGCCAAACTGAAGTCTGCAAGTCTGCATACTGTCTGTGACAGACATCTCATGAAAATGACTTCTTCTTTGACTGTGAGTTGCCTTTTATCTTGTTTGCAGCAAGTCTGTTGCAGACCTTTCGTGACTTTTGGTGATTATGCAATAAGGATCTATTATTATGTCTGCACTTGATCTGCAGCAGACCCTTTGCAGACAACCACCCGCACGAAACTTGCGGCGCTGTACAGCGCCACAAAATCGCTTCAAAATAGCTGTACAGCTAAATTACAGCTGTTCAGCAGCCTTTTAGAAGCCAAACAGCAGCTTCATTCAAGTTGCAGCGGGCTGCAAAAGTGCTGTGCAGCCTTTGAAGGTTCTTTGAAGCTCTCGGCAGCGGTTTTGCAGCGCAGTTGCCGACTTTCAAACGCTGCGAAGTAGCTGCAGTAACGTCGCTACAATTCAGCTGCGGTCGATCTGACTTTCTTGAGCGCCAATAACATGAATCGCCAGATAAAGCCTTGGCACAGATTGCGGCTTTTAATATAACGCGAAAACGTTGACTGTACCTCTAAGAAATGTGAGTAAGCTTGTGCTCAAGGAAGATCCCTTATTGAATAAACCTTCAAATTCTATGCTTTCAATAAATTTTATTCCGTGACTGGCAAGTGTGAGAATGTTATCGCTAATTCCCTGGAGACATTCTAGGCCGTGATCTAATTGGTCGGTCCTTTTACATGAGATCCCATTACATCTCTAGACAAACACGGGATCCCAAACATTTGCGACCGTTGAATGAAAGGCGCAAACATTCTAAGTGTTTTTGCATCTAGTTCTGTTTCGAGATGGAAGTTCTGTTGAAGTTTTTGGATGGAACAGCTCAAACGTATTTGCAAACAACGCACTTAACAGTGACTTCTACGCTAAGTATCGACGAATCGAACCAGCGCAAGCAACACAGATACAAGAATCTCAGATGGGGTAATTCGCACTTACAAGATTCTTATACGCTCGTGGTAATGTTCAGTCCTTAGTCCTTTGTAAAATTTAACGACGACCAAAGTAAAATTGGGTTGATTTCTTTCATGAAAAAAGTGTAGAAGATCGTGGATCATGGACAAAACGTCAAGGTGGGCAATGTCCAGCTTAGCCCGTTGCAACGAATCAAAATATCATTTGCCTGCTGTCCGTGTAAACTTTATGTATAAGAGCAATCGCTGTTATTCTCTTTATTTTTAAAAAAGATAATTTTAAGTTAGCTCTCTCGATGCCTCTTTCCATTCTTAAATAAAGGTCACCTTTAGGTCACCTTTTGGCTTGCAGCGTGTTGTTTTCTTCGTATATTTTTAGCTGACATCTAATACTCCATTCACTTTGCTGCAGTCAATCTGCAGACCTAAAGGTCTGTCATTCACCTTTTCACTTGCAGCTCACTGACAGTAAAGGGATACTTTTAGAACCGATCCACTTTTTGTGTTCACCTTTCCGTGACTAAATAAAATCGAACTGCACACTTAATACAGACCAACTGCATACTAACTGCAGACATTTCAGGCAAGTGATCTGCAGGCCTGCTGAAGACGGTTGAGCAGACGAAAAAAAGACCAGTCTGCAGATCTGCATGTTCCGTACGGGAACAGATACAACTGCCGAAACCATGCACATTTTTTCCTGTAGGAATTTTAACTTTTTAAAACACTTGTAACTGGAATAGGTGACAAATGGGTAGTCTCATCAATTCAGGATAGTGTTCTTGTGTTGGGTATGGCACGATAAAAACATACTGCTGGGTACATGTAAACTTAATTTTGATATGAAATCAAGAAGTCACCCCAGTATGAAACTCTTGCCTGTGTGAGTTTTCTCATGTAAACACCTGGACCTTAGATTGTTATTGCATTAACGAGGCATTAATCTTGGAGGCAGGCCAGGTGATGAAGTTATGTGCCATTTATGAAACTATTATAATTGGTTGGGAAGAATTTACAATTCAGGAAGGTGACCAGTAAGACCTTTCTAGTTATGCTTTGTTAAGTGGTATTAGCAACTGTCGATAAGTTGAAATCAAATACATCTTAAATTTGAATGCAACCTAGAAAATCTATCTCAAAAATACTTTTGATGAGTAAAAGATAGGGTTGTCAAAAAAAATTCAAGTGAAAGGTGAAAGCTGGAACAGCTATGATGGCTTTACACCTGTACTTCTATGTTTCTTTCTTTTTTTTCCGGCAAATTGCAGCTGGCAAAACGATATCTTGATAAACTTAACACCAATATCACCAGTTGCCAGCACATTTTGATAATGATCAAATAACTTCATACATGGAAAAACCCTTGTGATGTGTAATAATGCTGGTTTCAAGTGTCACACCATTCAAAATAGACCAAAATAAAAATCAAAACCATTTAATAGATAAAGTCCAGAATCTGGGAAATGAAAGGAGGTACATAATACAAAGACCCTCACCAAGATTCAGGTCAGAGGAATATTTTGTAAACGAGATATCTGAAGAAATGTTTTACCCAAACTTATAGAGATTTGTATGGAGACCCCATGCTGGTGCTCACCTGGATGAGCTCCAACATGGCAGAGGGAAACCAACAGAAACATCTGTTATCGAGTTTTGCTTCAAGAAACTTGTAAACATTAAAGTAATACTTTTTCTAATACATGAACTGTTTAGATAGCAAAATTTCCTGAAATAAGTCATTTTTTTAACCTACATGACAGCTCTCTTGGCCGTAATGTAAATGCAACATCATGCAAAAGCTTAGAAATTCAAGCGTGCTCTGTCACAAAACCAAGAACCCTCTTGAAGCGAAAATTTGTATGAAAATTAGTTTTCAGCTGCTCTAATGAATCGTGAAAGTAAAATCTCGGAAGGATCGATAGTTTTTTAGTTTGAATTTTAGTGACGTCATGTGAAAACCAACAATACATAAAAGTACACCGAGCATGATAAAGGGAATTCTGAATCTAGAACTAACTTGCATGCTACTTCAAGGACTGTGATATTGAAAAAAATTATGAATTAAATATTCAGTGTAATCTTGTACCCAGATCTCTTGTTGATGAAGCCGATGACAAGATCTGGTCAAGTAAGAAATTTCAATTTTTTTTATTGGCTAAATTGTGAGTGAATGACATGAGTGTTGTCTACTGTGCGTTATCAACAGAAACTGAAAAGAGTAAAAAAATTTTCTTGTAGAGTTGATGCCTACCTGCTTTGAGCTTTTACTGCACGCTATGATGTTTAATTTTATTCAAGTGTTGCATTAAATTTGATGTTACAAAGAACAACAAATTAGTTAGTTCATACTTAAGATGTGCGCATAACCACGTTTTGTTCACATTGAAAAATGACTGTGATTTTGGGGTTTATTTTGAGCATGCCCTCTTCAATCACCTGCCAGGAATTCACCTGCCACATTCCTGGCAGGTGATCATGTGTACAAATCGAATTTGACCAGATCTCGCCTTTCGCTTTGGCTTCATCAACATGAGTTCTGGGTACATGATTATATATTAGTGAATCTGTTCTAAAATTTTGTTCTAAAAAAAACTTGGGCCACTTCTTGCTTGTCTCAGTTAATGATATTGTTAGAGAATGACTTGTCTGGATTCTTGTTTATTGGGCAAGTAAGCTTTAAAAACTATCGACTTGGTAAGAAAATCTACTTGTCCTGGGCCCGGACTACCCAAGGGCACTTCTTTTGAGCCTCACTTCTAAGGAATTTTTGACCTGATACATTTTAAAATAATTAGGCAGGTAGTAGCAGTAACTGTAATAGCTGTGTACTTCACTTTGGAAAAAATTGCTGGTCTAAGTTGAAAAACTACCAGCGCAAGCATTTGGGGTATGTTAAGAGAAACGTGAAAGTCAAGATTAGGCAACTCACAGGGCAATACAAGATATTCCAAATGTGGAGGTAAAGAGAGAGCAAATTATCCTGACGCTTGGTTTGATGTCCTTTTACAAAATTACGAGCAACACAAACATATAACAGAGAGAAATCTAATCGTAATTACCTCTTGGAAAGTCTCTAAGAAAATTCCCTGACTATTTATCACTTAAAATAAAAAAGCAACACCTTATGATATATCACACTAGTGCTATAAAAAATGGCGTTTAGTGGTTCTTTATGATTTCTTTAAGCACAAGAAGAGGTTGAAACTCTTTGAGGTCAATGTGTTGCGTGTTTGGTATTTCGTTTTGTCACCATCTTCATTTTCTCGATTAAATTTTAGGTTTGTCAAACCTTTATTAAGCGGTTAGTTGGACATTCTGACCCCCAAGGCCAAGGGTGAACGCTTAACACAAGTTTGACCGTACAAATAAATATCGGTTTACATGTATGCAAAAAATTTATTCTCGCAATCAATCCGCAACTAACAAGATAATGTAATTAAATAAGCTTTCCCAGCTTACCTTAGGAGACTTCTCTCTCTCTTGGACTGGCGAGGGAAACTCAAATCTGAAGGACCGATCGCTAATGGTTAACACATCAAGATGCTTAATCTCAGCTTCAGTGATGGATTTTCCGTTGACAAGAGTTTGGTTACTGGAACTGAGATTGATTAATTTAATCTAAAAGGAAGAATAAAAAATTGTAGTGTAAAAATAGGCACAATGCGATGTGTGACTTCGGTGGATGAAAGAACCCATACATAAGCTCAATATAACATTGCGTACTGTAGTTTGAAGGCTACTATTGTAAAATGTACCGTACATGCATCGTTAATTGCTTCTTTACTCTGCCGGCATTCGCTGAGCAAAATTTTGAGTACCAACTACTACATGGATTGTTATGGCTCGATGTAAAACATATGTTGAAGCTTACCTTTCTGTCGTTGTCAATCTTTACTAGAGCGTGTTCAAACGACACGTTTGGTAGTTGAATTCTAATATCACACTCGGGTTTCCTGTGCAGCAAAAAGGAAATGAACGTCAAATCTTAATACTGTACGTTAAACAACACAAAAGTGTGGGGCAAAATATTAAATCAGGGTGCCTGTTCTAAAGAACAGCGATGATACTCTTCATCAATTCAAAATAATTAGCTTTTCTTCGAACAAGTTTCTCTCACCTTCCGAATAAACATTCGTTAGTTCGCAAAGGAAATTGGGGCCCATCTGTTCCATTCCTTTTTATGACGACAATTTTTGGATCATTCATTGTCACAAGTCAATGCCAACACATTCAAAGGTGACAAATACCGAACAAGGAATCTTCGATAAAATAAACGCAGCTAAGAAAGAAAAAATATAACCCGCCCGCACGAATGTTAACGAACAAATGAATTCCAACGGACTTTCAAATGAATTTGATTTTTGCGCCTTTATTGTTGATTGGACAATATAATCACGTGACGATGAAAACCAATCAAAATCCCTCTTCTCCCTTTCAAAATCATCCCTTCTCGTGCCAGATTCCGTCGGTCACGTTTTGCATAGACCGCAATCAAACCGCAATCAGTCTCTCTGTTGCTTGAAAATCTGTGAGCGAGTGATTATGGCGTATGATCCCCGCCAAAATTCATGGTTTAAATTTTAAATTCATCATTCAAATTTCTAACCTAAATACTTGAGTTTTACAGCTCACAGTCCTTCGCTTCTCTTTTCCGGTTCCGGCAGTTGAGCGTCTCTCGCTCGCTTTTTGTTGCAGAAAACGTAAAAAAAATTGAGCTCGACTTGTAGGGAAGTCTACGCTGAATTCAAAATTTTACACTCTTCCTTTAGATTTCGCATAATTGGAAAACGTTTTTAAGCTCGTTGTTTCGCTATTGAGGCTCAACTCTTCTATTTGACCTTGCTCGCTGTGTGTTTTCAACTCGCTACATGAAACAGGCCTGTAACGAAGTTGAAAGTGAGAGGGCACGACTGTTGTGCATGTGTTGTGGGCCGAGTAATTACTAGATTACTGTGACAGTAGTGGAGGCTATGGAATTATATAAGTATGACCACCGCAGTTGAAAATATGGTGGTTTCCATCAGTACTAATTAATTAGCTAAATGTTCAACATAGTTCGACTTCTGAAAAGTGTCCAAATGTCGACAACCTGCGAGAGTTTTCAGTGTAAAAGTCGTTAGCAACATTAACTTGTCCGCGTCTTCCTTGTATACCGACATCAGCGGGCAAAAGGTTGTTCATATTCTTGATTCTTTTTTTCTTTTTTTTCAGTTTCACTAAAACTGTTGCAGTGTCACTGAATGAAGCAGGCCATTTGCATTTAGAAATTCTATCATGGGTGACAGAGGCTGGGGGGGTGGTACTCCCATACATTACCTATACGGGTATGTGCCGCCCAACATACATTACCTATACGGGTATGTGCCGCCCAACGGGGTCGTGATTTTGAAGCTCCTGATTTAGAACGGGGTATTCATTTCAGATGCGTTTTCTAGAACGGGGTATAAAAAATTGTGGATCACTGCTTTATCTTCTGCTTAAAATTGTCGCTGATTGTGAAGAAGTATTTATTTGATGTATAAGTCGAACAAATAAAGGAATATCTTTTTAAAAAAACAGGGCTATTTCAATTTACAAACTTTCTAGAACGGAGTATAAAAAATTGGCCCATTTCTAGAACGGGGTATCAATTTTAGGAGGATTTTTTTTTTTTGAGAACGGGGTGCCAATTTGGAGTCCCGAGCGGCACATACCAGCCCAAAAAATACCCAAGTGCCCCCCCCCCCCGGCCCGGCCCGGGCATGCAGAGGCTATGGCACTTTCCGGAGCATGCATTTTCGAAATAGTAAGCTGTGTTTCAAGCCGTTCCCTCTTCATATCTGGACGGATTAGGACCATGAAAATTTCAGGTTGATAATGGCTAACTTGAGAAATCGCCTCCTGAAACCGTCTTGAGAAGCAAGTTTTCGAGTTTTAGGGATGTTAAGCGTGAGATTTTTAAGGTGTACGCAAAGGGAAAAAATTAGAAGGCCGAAGGCGATGCAAAGTAGGGGGGCATGCTCCCCCAGAAAATGTTTAAATTTACGGGCTCGAAAATGCTATTTCCTCGTTATCCACAGGATGTTTAAAAAAATATGAAAGAAAATGCAAATGGTCAGACCCAACTCCGTTGTTGTCGTTAACGTACCATGTTAACGGTAAGAAAGGTAAAAAAGGAAATTACAAGCAAAGGACGAGATCAGTACATGGTCTGCATGACAGCCGTCTCTCTCCGTCTCCCCTGCGAAACATCCCTAGTGATGAGGAGCAAGAGGAGAACCGGCTGTATACGCTGGCTAAGGGCCACACAGGGATTTAAACGGACTTAAGAGGTTAAAAAATAGCCCTAACAACATATTTTGTAAAATCGAAGGGTTCGTTACGTTGTATTTTCGACGGTAAAGTGGTATTCTTCTTCTTCTTTTTTTAATTTTCGCCCCAAAAGTGGGAGGCACGGGCCTACTCGCGGCCCCCCTACTCCTACGGGTCTGTCAAATTAAATAGTAGAACCCCTGGGGGAGGTACTCAACAAACTTTTTTACTGCGAGGCTCCGCCCCGAGGTTCAACCCCGTACCCTTTAATGTACCACCAGAGGTGTCCCAAATGAGAGGTTCCACTGTGTGCTAGATTTTTACGTTCCCACTACGACTAGCCTGCGAATACAGACGTCGCTCCTCGCAGCTGGGGACCTTCCACCTGGAGGGACGAGGAGCGAGGAGAGACGTCCGTTTTCGCCGGCTACATTACGACATAAGCCTAATAATAAACATGATCTTATCATAAGAAAATAAGCAATCATCGGCCTTAGCCTCCTCTTCAGACATAATTTAACGCTCCTTATAACTATGATAATAATCATACGCCGTTTTTATGCTAGTCGTTAAAGCTGTGTGAGACGCTGAAGTCGTCTTAAGACGACTTTAACGTCCATTAAAAAAAACGGAAAATAAGACAGACGCATTTAACATCTGACGACATTAACGTCTCAGACATTAAATGCGTCCAGGATAAAAACGGGACGCCGGGTAATTGGGGACGCATTTATGCCCATCTCTTTTACATAGGTGTCCGTTTTATAGAGAGTCAAAAAAAGGGAGTAAAGAAAGGCAGGGTTCAACTCTCGGCGTCCGTTTTACAAGTGTCCGTTTTATAGAGGGTCAAATAAAGGGAGTAAAGAAAGGCAGGGTTCAACTCTAGGTGTCCGTCTTATAGAGAGTCAAATAAAGGTAGTAAAGAAAGGCAGGGACCAACTCAAGGTGGCCGTTAACAGAGAGTTGACTGTCGTCTACGACTTTAACGTCTCTAGCGTAAAAACGGCCATTGTTAATTTTTTTTCTTGCACCTTTTTCTCTTTGTACCAGTTTCTGGTAGAGATTCATAAAAACAACATTTCATGAAGGGGTAGAACGTCGTTTTTTATACGTTTTCTAATAATTGTTTTTTCACTGCTTTTTCCTTCACCTTACTCATGCTTTAGAAACGTACTGTTCGGGAAGGATAAAATTCATCAAGAGAATTTCCGACCTCACAGGACTCACAAAATTACTCAAAAGCCGTTCATTTCGGTTCATAATCGCTGCACAGCCCTCAGACTTGTCTCATTCTGGTTCCCAGAGCCCGTCGCTTCTTTCGGTCATGACTCACGCATGTGCATTAGAACCCACCGGCAACTTAAGAAACTTAGTAAGAAAATCTAGCGATTCCACCATTTCGGTTCCTTTCAAAAATGAGACGCTTTTTAACAGGTAATTACAGTGCGCGTATTCTGTAAATAAATCCACCCTAAATCTAGTCGTTTTTTTCACAATTCAATTTGGTTAAAAATGTGGTAGCTAAAGAAACGGTGACAAGTATCCACTGGTTCTCCGTCACATTTAATTTCAGAAGTTAAAAAAATACAAAAAAAATTCCTCCAAATTCACGTTGTAACGTTAATGCTACTACTTGAGAATGTCTGATACTTTCTCTTAATACAATGCTTTAGAAAACCATAAATTATGTAGTAATTTAATTTACCAAGGTAAACAGGTTTTAAAGTCCCTATCCGTGATCATTTTGAAGAGAGTTGATCAATTAAGACACTAGAACATATACTTTCTTTTGATTTCCATTAAAAAAAGTAACATGCTGTGATTCAATTATATCCCCGGTCATTTTAATGGTTTCCTTTGTTGGACTGTACACTTAACATTATCAAGACAAAGGAAAATGAGGTACGAGGTTAACATAAAATTCCAATATAATATATATAAGTACGGTAACAAAAAGCACTTAAGCACTCTTGTCTCTCAACATTAAATTCGGTCTGATATTTAATACAATAAATGTGTTCGTCTCACTTGGAAAACAAGACTAAAATGTGTCGAAAATTGCAAAAGTATAAGTTACGTTTACGAGTCTTACTAGTCCACCGAATTTAGTTTACCAAAAATCAAACAGGTTTTGCCACGAACAAACTTGTCAAGGTTTATTTTCAGGATTTCTATATTCCTAACCTTGATTAGAAGGAAAGAGCACCAAACCAAGCTCACTTTCATTGTACACGTACACAAAACATTTTCTTGAACAAAGTCAACTTCACCCCTTTCGTTACGGGTGATCGGTACACATGGATCTACGCGTGCCAACTAACTCTACATTTTAGTCTGTATTTCCAGTAGACGCCATTTCAGTTGAAAACCCTTTCGATGAAGCAACAGTCTCAGACAATGCACATTAAAATTAAAATGTGCATCTCTTCTAACAAATTTCAAGTCATCAAAATGCTGCAGTTGCACTATCACGTTATTTTTACTGTTTTCTAACTAACTACACGTTGGCCTTTAATTTGATTCAACTAACAGTACTCACACAATTAAAAAGAGCATTATTTTCACTCCAATGTTAGCTAGCATATAAGTTCATCAACAAATGGAAACAAACAGTAAAAAGAACAAGTACAACGTGTTCAATATGACTTTGTTGTGGTGCAAGACAAAAGAGTATCAGCCATACTGAGGCAGTGGCACAGCACCCCCATTAGTTAAACTTTTCAAAAGCAGGAAATTTGTTGAAAAATATTTGTTTAACTAATCTATTCTTGATAACCAGTCCCATTCCACAGCTGGACGATTTTTAGGTATGACATACTTCAAAAATAAAACAAAGCGGTGTTAACTGCTTTTTTAGATGTTGTGGGTTCGGCTAATTTTATAAATGAGATAACAAAAGAGAGAAGTGTGACGTCATGTTACCATGGTAGCAAGATTTTTTGGATCACAACGATACGGAGCTTAAGCAACGACGACGGCAACGGCAACGGCAACGGCAAAAAAGCACTAGGTTTAATGAGCAAAACAACACTTTTACACGTGCATCACGCTTTTTTGTACATTTCTTAGCCGTCGTAGCACGACTACGACGTGAAACTTCCTAATTTCACTCGCCTGCTTTGTAAAGTAGATGAACACAACACAATTTATTTTTTCTTTTTCTAAACTTAAATACAGTCCTTTCGGATTCAATCCCCGCAAATTTAGTCAACATTTGACAAGTTAATAGGAACTGAATAAGATCGATGAAGTCTGAAACAGTGCGAATTCACTTTTTAAGTGACGTTTTCGGTTTCCTGTCATCCAGAAATTTTGCTACCATGGCAAGGTGACGTAAAGACTTCTCCTCTCAATTTTGGTAAAATAATACACAACTCATCTGAAAGGCTTTTCCATCACTTACGTATGTTTTTGCTTCAGATACCATTTCGCTTCCCTGAAATGTTTATATCAGATATAATCACCAACATGTGGTTACTTTGCTCAAGTTTTTTTTTTTTCAAAACAATTTTCGTATTTTGTTAGGAAATCTGTGCCGTTTCTTTATTGTTTATGTTAATTACATATATTCATTTTTTTACAAAACCAATTTTTAAAACTCTATGAATCAATGTAGGCATTTGGTTCATTGGCCTAACCCCAGTACACAGGCATTCTTCCCAAGTAACATTTCTTTAAAGTGTACCTGGCAGTCTGACCTGGTATTGCTGTCCTTCTGGGCTAGCCCAATGTTATATAATACATAGACTTAAAATGTTTGTCCCCAATTTACCTGATACTTCACTTTTAATCGAAAACAGGTTCCTCTCTAACACCACTCCCTAAAAGTATTATGTTCCCTATGCTTAACTGACATCAACTGACACCTTTGTATGTTGTATATCCACTGCTGCCAAAGCTTTGAAATTGTCCCATTTGTCTGGGCTGCATCACGTTACTAATTCCTCCAGGCATGGAAACCGGCCTTACCATTCCTTTGTTTGCTGCCATGTGCATCATTGGCATGTTAGAGGACATAGTCATCTGACTCATATTTGTAGTCAGCATGTTGACTTGAGGTGGCATACCCATTAAGGGGACACCCATGTTCATTGGTGGAACCCCTACCATGTTAGGCATTTGGTGCACAGCTGGCATACCATACAACCCCACTGTAGCTGCTGTTGTGCTCATTTGCTGTTGGTTTGAGTACAGTTCATTCATGCTGGGTTGAATTGGCTTGTCTCTATGGCTCATTGGACTCAAATTGTCAAGGCTGATATCAACTGGACTGTTTGACCATGTTGTTGACTTGATTGATTTCTACAAATAAACAGAAAGGAATTAATATGGTTCCCTAGAGATAAGATAATTACTAATACTTATATTAGTTTAATAAGCTTTCCCTTAAAATTAGGAAACACTTATTTTGTTACGTTTTGTCCCTACCAAAAACGAATAAATCATTTAGTAACTTTAAAGATTTACAATAATCATACACATTATGTGGGGTTCTAATAGTGATAAACATCTCACCTGGAAACATCATATCAGTCATGTTTCATTAAAGATAACTAGAGACATGGGAATTATACCTAGACTTAAGAATTTTACTCCATTCTCAACATCTCAACATATTTACAGGTCCCTTACAGTAAACTGTACACTTGTCCCCCTCATCTGCTGAATGGGCTTGTTGCGGGCCCAGAGCCTAACTGCTTGATCATATTTAGAAAAAAGTTTAGTGCTTCATAAATGGTCAGTTCATTTAAGGAACTTTATCATAGTCTTAACACATGCTATTCCAAAATTTCTCCATTTCCTCCATCACAACGTTAACAACTATTCTAAACTTTGTACTCTCTTCTATGTGAATAATTAAGTAATTCCTATTTTTCATCTGTTTTTACCTCTGAGGACTTCACCAACTTGCCTTCTTTAGAGCCTTTAGTTTGTGAGAAACTTAATTATATTTCCTGTACTACTGAGGAAATTTTAAAGCATCTTAAGTCTCTTAAAACGAACAAGTCCCCGGGTCCAGATAGAATTTCACCAGTAATTTTAAAATCATGTGCGTTCGAATTGGCGCCCTCGACCTCATTTCTGGTTAACAAATCTTTCCTGCTAGGCCATTTGCCCGAAGATTGGAGATCAGCTGACACTGTCCCACTTCATAAGAAAGGTTCTAAACACTTGAGGGAGAATTATCGTCCAATTTCGCTCACATCCATGATATGCAAAATCAGCGAAAAAAATGTACGCGATATGTTAACGTCATTTTGGCAAGACCAAAACGTGATAAACAAAAACCAATTTGGTTTTTTGCAGGGTAGGTCTACTGTGACCCAATTACTCTCTACTTTTCATCACTTCGCCAGATCTAGGAATTCATCTGTAGCAACAGATGTTGTATTTCTTGATCTCGCAAAGGCTTTTGATAGTGTTCCTCATGAGCGTCTACTCATAAAGTTATATAGCCTCGGTATTGAGAGCAAACTTCTTAACTGGTTGAGGCATTTTCTCACGTGTAGAAAGCAACGAGTTGTTGTAAGAGGGACTTTTTCTGATTGGGCACCTGTGATATCTGGTGCCCCACAGGGAACTATTCTTGGTCCAATTTTATTCCTAGCATATATAAATGATATCGTTGATAGTGTCTCTTCAAAAATTAAATTATTTGCGGATGACACAAAGATTTACAGAGAGCTTCGCAACCCTAGTCTCGATGAACAATACCTTCAAACTGATTTGAATAATCTTGGTAAATGGGCGAAAAAATGGCAACTTCGTTTCAATGAGGAAAAGTGTGAAGCAATGCGAATAACGCATTCTCGTGACAAATCGACTACGAATTATAAACTAGGTACGGCCTTAAAAGATGTCAAGAGCTTTAAAGATCTTGGAATTATTATATCAAAAGATCTTACTTGGAGTGAACATATTAGTACTATGGTGAATAAGGCGAACCAAGTCCTAGGGCTAATAAGACGGTCGGTTGGAACAGCTAATACAACAACTTTTTCATTGCTTTACAAAACATTGGTCAGACCGCTTTTAGAGTATGCTGCTCCAGTCTGGCACCCATATCTTGTCAAAGATATTCATGCAATAGAGAGCGTGCAAAGACGTGCATCAAGATTAGCTCTTAGGCAAAAAAGAGGTGATATGTCTTATGAAGAGCGTTGTGACTCGTTACATTGGCCATCTTTGTCCAGTCGTAGGACATATTCCTCTCTTGTTGAATGTTACAAGATTGTGTTTGGCTTATCACACTTGGATTTTGAGGAATTCTTTCAATTCGCAAAAGTCAAATCCACTAGGGCAAATCACTCGTATAAGCTTTATTGTAAATTATCTAGAATCAACTGTTTTAAATATTCTTTTTTTAACAATGTAATTAGTTATTGGAACAATTTACCTAGTAATGTTGTTGAAGCCGGTTCCCTTGAACTTTTTAAATGTAAACTCAAATCCTTTTTAAAGTTGTAATTTTTATTGTTTGTTTGTTGTTTTTAGGAGAGTTTTATTCATAGGGTTAACCTCTAGACTCTCCTTTTCAAATTCATGTAGTTATTATGAGTTTGAATAAACATGTATGTTATGTTATGTTAAGTCTGCACCACCATCTGCACCACCAAGCATCTCTGATGTGTTCACCCCCACACATCCTCCTTGCCTGGTAACTTTCATTGCAAATACTTTCAACTAAACCAACATATAAACTCACTTACTAGTAGGGGAGCAGAAATTTGAAAATGTATCCACTGCAAATCTCTAGGTAAATAAATGTACTTGAGTGATGAAAAAATATGTATTTCGGCAATGAAACTTATTGTATATTAAATGTAACAACTATATTTTGCACACAGAACACAAGCAACAGCATGTAACTTCCAACCACCCCTTAACTGCTTATGATCTAAAAAGTGACCTGTTAGAAAAGTTATTTCAGCAACAAATACCTGATGCAATGGCGTGCTATCTGCAATTAATTCTGATGCTGGCTTTCCACTGGCATTTAATGGCTTTGAAGGAGTCAGAGTCTGTGATTTCAAGCTTATTGGTTGTTGAGCAGTTTGAGGTTGAACTAACAATGGTGAATTATTCAAAAACTGTCCTTGCATTGTTCCTGAGGAAAACTGATTGGTAAGTGCAGTAGGCTGCAAAGGCTGAAAATCCACCCCTGATGACAGCAGATTACTTTGTGGCTGAAGAGTTGAATTCGTTGCCAATGGAGCTGAGAAGGAGGATAGGACCTGCTGCGGTGGCTGATTTGCTGAGTGACTGACTACTACCTACAATGAAGACATGAATATGATAATAAATAAATATAATGTTATGTATAGTAAAACATTATCTCTTAAACTAGAAATGCTCTACTGAATAGAATTAGTTGCAATAAATTTGACACTTTGTTAAGTAATATTTATCAGCAAGATAACTTTCATAATCTTTCGATTTCCTCACTCAGCAAAACATTTTTGGTGTTGTATTCCTCGATCTATATCTAAGCATAACTGTATGTTGTCAGTTGGTTACACGGTCAGGTTTTGGTTTCTCTAACAATACTGTACCAAAGGACAAATATAATATGTGAGAAAAAGAGAAAGGTTAGGTATTGTTTTTTCAATCATTAATTTACAAGTCACTTGGACAAACAGGTCAGTTCATTCAGGTCTTCCAGGCCCCACTAGCACTCATAATGTCTGAAAAATTTGATAATAAACCTTGATCACAAACTGGAAACAACATTCACAAGAGAAGCTATTGATTAACATATCAGAGAGCATTACCTGTTGAGGTTGTATCAAAGCATTGCTTTGAAAGGCAGTGAAAACGTTTTCTTCAGTTGTGTTGTTTTGGGGTGGGCTTGCAGAGCGGAAAGCCGCAAAATCTCCAAAGTCATCATTGTCTACTACAGGTCCTTTCTCTATATTCAAGACAAAAAGAGGATAATGAGGAGAAAATTTACTGCAAGACAAACATTTTCGTTAAAACCTAAACCCTATGCTTAGCGTTTAAGTAAGGCACAACAGAGCACTATCCAATGGAAAAATCCAAACCTTGATGCATTTTCATTAAAGTTACAAGTGTAAGTTATTTTTGTTATCTTTCAATCCTACAAATTGCTATTAAATTGTATTGTACATTGTTGCACTTCTTTTTTAATGTCAAGAAAATGCGAGTGGAGAGAAAACTTTTTTAATTTTCACCTTTCAGTGGTCCAGATAAGAGATGGGTCTCGGGTCATTGAACCGACAAAGAAGGCTTCCTGGCCCAACAAATGAAATGTACACATAAAGTTACAGAAAAAAAAGATAGCACATGGTCTGGATGACCCCTCAGATGGTCTACATGACCCGCCGCTTGAAAGAATTACTGACTGCAACGCTGCTTTTAAACTTTTTATTCTCTGCCACAATGTTAGTAATAGCCTGCGTTGCAACTGGCCCATGCATTGTCTAAATTTTGTACAGTCCGTCAACAAATTACTGCACAAAAGCTTGATCTGATATCCAGCAGAGTCGCAAGGATATATGTGAGCATTTCTGATGGGCGGTTTTCTTACCAGTCTCATGATTAGCCCAATTGTTACGTGTGCCTGACGGTTGGGTTCAGTGACATGTCAAAATTCACAGAGGGGATTTGGCAAGAGGTGTTTATAGTAAACAATGGAAGGGCAGTTCAAACATGAAAGCCTTCTTCAAGAGAGAACAATTCCTTCAAGGCCAGAATTTGCCAACTGGTTTTCCAGCTTTTTCCAATCGCTGAAGATGCACTGCTGCATATTCTGCAACCCAGCCAACAATTCTAGTCTCAAAACAAATCGGGAAATTATGATATTCATGGACAAAAAAAACTACATACATGTATTTAGCCACAATAAAAAGCTTAAGGCTTTAACAGAAGTAAAAGAAAACAATGTAGCAGTAAACTGCACTAATGATCAAATCCTGTCAGATCTACAAAAACATAAACCACAGGACCTTACTCAAAATGCATATAACAGACCAGATCCATAACCTCTAAATGTGAGACTCAAAGCGACAAAAATAAGATTTGCTTAGTCAAAGTTAAGAATACTCCATGAACTGCATAACCTACGCTATAAGAGAGGAAAGCACGAAAAACCTCTGTTGCTAAGGTCATGTTTCACACTATCACAAGCTCATTCTCTCTTTTCACGAGCTGTGAGTCATGTTTGGCCTGTCCACACTTTATTTCCAATCCGACTAATCACAAACTGCGTAAGAAATTAGCCAATCAAAAATGCCGACGTATGTCCTTGCAACTCTAATACAACTCAATATTGTGCATTAATTTGCAGATGCTCTACACAGAAGATTTAGAGGATCTGCAACGCAGGCTAAAGTGAAATTATTCGCTAAGTTCACAAGTATACCATTTGATTACCTTTTAAAGTGCCCATCACCTAAAATTTTATATTTTCTTATCTGAAACTATACGTTATTAAAATAACTTCTGCAAAAAAATTTTGCGGTTTGAACAAAACGCAATTTTTTTACCAATTTTTGAAGTCTACATTTTTGTGTACACCCGCGCCGCTGATCATGCAAACTAGCAAGCTCACATATGACGTCATGTGACGTAAATTAAGGAACTCGCATTACCTTGTCTTCACCAGCTGTACACAAAAAAGATAAATTACAAGTAAGGATTGAATCATAATGTCTTCGCAAGAAGAAAGATTTTCTGAAACAGAAAAACCTACCAGAACTCTTAATGTTTTCCTGTCAATAAGGTCATGTGTTCCTTAAAGTACGTCATATTTAGTCATAGTGCGAGAGAAGACTAAGATGAATGGTGTGCCAAAATGGTGGCAAATTTCAACGTTTTTAAAAAGTTCTAAAAAAATCGTCTTTGGTTCAAATCGCCAAATTTTTTCGCAGAAATTATTTTAATAAGGTGTAGTTTCAGATAAGAAAATAAAAAATTTTAGGTGATGGCCACTTTAATATCAAGGGTGACAAATTGTACTCACAATCGATTGAGAACTCCATGCACTGATAGAATTCTTCTTAGTTCTCTTTCATGTGTTTAGCATCTTTAAATACCTTGAAATCTTCATACACAACATTGGAACTGAGACGTACGGAACTTTGCCATAGCAATTTTGTAATTTCACATGTGAAATTATTATTAATTAATGCTGAAATTTTGTGCCAAGATTAAGGAGTTATTTGTCACCCATGATATCAAAGTAGTTATATCACAGCTGCTTTTGAGTTGAACTGATTAAAGCACTGAGTGTCAATGTAACCAGAACAAAAGTGCCAACTAAGCACACTATTATTTTTATGCCCCCGTGAGGGCTGGAGAAGTAGGGGCTGCCATGTGAAAGTCTTGCTGTTTGCTGGGTAGAGGTAGTACCTTCAATTCTCAGTTATGTTATGACCCTGAGTATTGGCCCAGCCCTGGGGATTGATCCTGACTTCCTGCTCTTATACAGTCAAGTGCTCTACTATCTAAGAAAGTAAGCCCTAAATTGGGAGTTTGTTTGGTGTACAGAGGTTGAAGACAATATTTGAAGCCTAAACAGTTCAAATTGACAAGATTAAGTTGTGTGCAGGTTAGTGGCTTAAAGAAACACAGCTTCATTTAATTCCAACAGTATACATGTATTTTTGCAAATGAGTTGTTACAAAATTTCAGAAACAGCAGATCAGTAGCACACTACACATGTACAGATGCATAACATGTTAAGAAAATATCAAAAATTCTAAAAAACTTCAAAATTCATTTAAAATCATTTATTTGCAAAGAAAATGAACCTCTTTAACCAAATTACAACATGTTAGCCCATTTTGACTTAATCGGAGCAATAACATTGCTGTAGTACCCAGGATGCATTGCGGCCCCACCCATTTCATGTTTGTTAACATTATTAGGTCCGTTTTCTTAATTTTTTCTCACAAAAATGTTCTTTTGAAAATGAAAGAAAAGTAAGGACATAAATTTTCGTTTTGTCTGTGTTTTTATCATGTAAATAAAGTAAATTATGCCAACAATTGTAGCCCTAGAATGTCACTAAAACCGCACGTGTACTGAACGTTTTCTCGCGTGTTTTCGATTTGTTGCATAACAATAAGCTTCTGGGTGGTTACCAAGGTCGTTGTGAAGTCTTCCTTTGAGTTAAAGCGAGTGAGATGGCCGAGAAAGTTTGCGAGGTTGATGCATTTCTTTGAGATCGATGTTGCTGAATGTAACCTGAAACCTTCCACGAAACTTTCAAAACGTTTGGTATTCAGAAAATTGCTTCTAGCGCACACAATTTCTTATATTTTTCCATGAAAGTTGCTATTTACAATTGTTGTGACTTGAGAATGACACATGAAAGAAAATCAGCAAGGTCAGTTTCATGCTTCGTGTGCAGAGACTGCTTGCATTTTGCCCTCCTTGAGAAAATCAGGTGTAAACATGGCGCGTTTCAAAGTGTTTGGTAATCAGAAATTTGCTTCGTTCTCTGGATGGTAAAGAGGAATTACGCTAAAATTTTCAGGATTGACTGTTGAAAAAATGAGGATTCCAGTTATTGAGGCCATTTTATCTTTGAAGCAATCTACATTTTGAAATGTTGGACGCATTGCTGATTTCATGGATTGAAACGTACAGCATGACGCTGGTACACTGGTTCAACACAGCTCACTTTTCTCAAAAACCGCTTTTTCCGACAACGTTTGACCTATACAGCTAAAATCTATGAATAATTTTGATTTGTAAGGATACTAGTTCCGCTCAAATCTATTATGGTTAAAACATGAAATGTTACCAAAATGATAATTTGCTGCGTGTGAATGTTACGCATGACGGCCCGAATTATGCACATTTTTGTAAAAAAATAAATTTCTAAAAAATGCAGAATTCAATAAATATCCATGATTTTTGGCAGATCTGTAGTTCAACATGTTGTTATTGTTTGTGCTAGGGGACAGCTTTGTAGCTGCTAAGGTTGAGGAGATATTGTACTTTATATGTGCCACATTTCGTTTGTACACGTGAACTGTGCTACTGATCAGCACAAACCAGCCATGCATGTAAGTACAAAAGAAGAACACTTAATTTACCAGGCACAGGTTGCTCAAAAGACGGTTAACCTTAAACCCAAATTTGACATTTTCTTGACAAGCAATATGTTAATCAATCTATGAGAACATAAGCCAATAAGATAAAAGGCTAAGATTTGAACATACAATATCTATCATTGTAAGTTTTAACCCTGGGTTTATGTTTATCTGACTTCTAGGAACTGGGCCCTGGTCTGTACTACTAGCAAGCCATCTGCTGTTATAATAACTACATATAATATAGTTACACAAATGGAGTACATGGTATTTTAAATGATTCATGAATGTAATGTAGACTAGTTGATGACAATGACTGCACTTTTGGCATTCACTGAAATAAAATATTGTCCCTATAGATGACCTTAAGGCACATTAACCTGAGATCAAGCATTATTATTATTTTTTCTTTTTGCTTCTTTGGCTCCAGAGGGAAAAAAATAACGCCTGATACATTCATTTAACAAGCCGTCAACCGCCCCCTAATTTACATAATCTAACGTCTGCATGATCTGTCATGTTATTAATAAGCGTCTACCATACAGGAATCAAATTTTGGCACAAATAATGTCTCTTTTGAAATCAATTTTAGGGAAAAGAACATTTTTAAGTATGTCCATGTTCAGATGGCGCTTCGATTCCTAAAAAAATATAAATTTGTTGGTTTTGTGATGAAATACTGCTGGCTGGAGCTGTCGTACCTTTATTCAACAGCTACAAATAATAAAGAATTTACTGGTTAAAGCTCTTTGACTTCGTTCTCTGCCGAAAGCAGTGAAAAAAAAAAAAAGGCTGAAGCACCATATTTCACGAACTGAAAGGTGTTGTGAAAGCGAAGATCGCTCAGAATAATTCGCAGATTTCTGAAGGAAGAATTACAGTCAAACCAGGTCAAGATTCCATTCATGAATTGATTATTTGAAAAGTGAACCCATTTGTCGCTTCTGTAACTTGTAACCGGTATCAAATTGCATTCAAATGATCGAGGAAGTTTTGACTGCAACTTTTTAGTATACGATGAGATGGAAAATATTTCAATGGATGAAACTTCTATTTAGACATTTTTCAAATTCAAGAAAACTGAGCCGGCAGAAATGTCATAACGAACTCGCCTGTGTATTCAATGCTCATTATGCAAGAAAAAATGCAGAGTGAAATCAACAACAACTAATGGATGGCGGCATTTTGGCCAATCGGAACAGCGCAAATCATCAGTATTGTTTCCTATCCAATCAGAAAAAAGTCCAGATTCTGGCTTTTTCACATGTGATCCGACAAAGAAATGTATCATGCCCTCTTCCCGTGAGAGACATAAAGGGATAATAGGGAGAGGGCATGATCTCAGGCTAAAGGCACATATATTAACAACTTTCGCCTTACCATTGATGCTTCCTCCACCAGGAGGAGCAGAAGCAAAATCTGCAAAGAAGTCTTTTTGTGCTGGGACAGTTGCAGAAGTCTGTAAAGGCTGCATACCAGGAGGTGTTAAATCAAATAAGTCCACCAAGTCTGCATTACCAACTTGCAATGTAGGTGCTGAACTTGTTTTAACATTTGATGGCAAATCAATAGAAGAAGTTATTTCTGATTTCCCAAAATTTGCAGCGGCACCAAGATCAATAGTTTTTGCACCAAATTTAGTCGATGATTTTGGAGTTGGATTTCTGGATGAATCTGCACTGTTGACAATATCTCTGTCTTTTTCTTCAGAAGCTTCTTCTGCTTCCTCTTCATCACTAAGGATAACCATTACAATTAAATAAACTAATTCTATCAATATTAAGCAAAGCATGACAAAACAACGGTTAAATTTTTTTCCAGGATCGTTTATCATAGTCTCAGACTAAAAGTACCTATCAAGTATTAATATTAACAAAAGTATAAATGATCAAGCTACAGAGGAACCTCACTCTATGGACACCCACACACTGACAAAAAGCTCATACATTTCCTCTACAATCAACCCGCTGAATACGGACACAGGTTAATACCGACAACAGACACTTCTACAGTCAAGTATTTGTCACTTTCATAACAGACGCGCAAAATTTTTACACTTGTTGTGCACAATGTCAACAGTAAAAACTCGATGGAGGGTGTGCATTTGGTCAATAAAGGCGGGAAAATTGGCAAAAAAAGAAACAATCAAAAATCGACCAAGAGTACGAAAAAAATTGCATAGTTTCCGAAAGAAAAGGAATGTGAGCTGTTTGTGTTTTGATGCCTTGTTTAGCAGGAACAAAAAGAGGGTAGGGGGAGGGAGAAAAGTGCAAAAGAGGGAAAAAGCGAAGGGAGCGCCTGCTATAAGAGACGGTGTTTTTGTATTCCACCCACCATTTTCTCAACTAATCCAATGACATCAACTGTTAATGCATGACCAATCACTTGTAGGGGGCTTCTCAGCATGGTCCGAACTTAATTGCTTTGTTTACCAGAAATTGTCAAGTCGAGACGCTTTTTTCAAGTAATATCATAATCAAGCAAAATAGAACATCTTTACTGTTCTTACTCCCAAAGCAAACATGGCAAACATATAGAGTACAAGCCGTCTCTCTCTTTTTTTTACTGCTTGCAGTCTACTACAAACAATGATCAGTTTCATGTGAATACACAAGACCTTTGGTCTTACCTCATCAAACAGAATGGTCACAAAGAACAGAACAATCACTGGTAGCCTGAGACGCGAATAATGAAAGGAGAATTATAAACAGTTGTCAAAAAGCTCATCGGATAGTTTCTACCAAAGTTTCAGCTCTCTCTTTACAAACCATTTAGAAGTTCATTCAAGACGGCATATGTTTTTGCACAAAAGGCCATCTTGTGAATATTGGCATTGCAGATGTCTGGCAAGAATTGCAATCACCTTGAATCGCCACTCGGTGTTTGGACAAATCCAGTATACAACACCTCCTGAGCATCTCTGCCTGCTAAACAAGCTATTACAGTTGGTCCCAGTTGGGGTTTTAATGTTAAGGCAATGAACAAATGGGGGTTCTTATAGCAGGCGCCCCTTACCCTCTCTCCCCAAACCCCCTCTTTTTCCCCTTCCTCCCTGTCCCCTACCCCTTTCGACGCCTGCTAAGCAGGCTAATTCAGTCATTCAACGTTAACTTCAAGGTTACCATGAAATTCCGAAAATAAGCCCTGGGGCTTATATTTTTCAAAGGCCCTTTTTGAGGGGCTTATTTTTGGAGGGACTTATATTCAAAGGGGCTTATCTACGGAGGGAAATTTGCGTTTCCAAATCGATTGAGCTAGCCTTATAGTTGGAAGGAAATTTACCATTTTTGCTTTGTTTTACTTTGTATTTGAGGGCAATTTTCTAATTACAAGCCCCCGGGGGGCTTATATTTGGAGGGGCGATTTAACGGAGGGTTTTTTGCGTTACCGGTTTAGGGGGCTTATACATGGAGGGGCTTATTTTCGGAATTTTACGGTAGGTCACAAAAAAATGGTTATATTTTTTTGGTTTTGCTTCTGAGAATTAATTTTTAGTTCTCATGAGTCGAAAAGGTGCTGAACTGTACACAAAGACCAAAGAATTAATTGTTACTCTGTCTCAATCTGTGCAAAACAAAGCAGAACTGTCAAGACTGTTGAACATTCCAAGAACGACTATCACGAGTGTTCTAAGCAAGTATCGAAGGACTGGCACAGTGGAGACTTGGCACAGTGAAGTGGAAGGAAAAAGAGCTTCACAAATAGAGACAGAAATGCTTTTAAGTGTTTGGTTGAAAGTAACAGACATCTTACCTTACAGAACATTAGTGCAAAGATAAACAAGTGCAAAACAAAGACTTTCAGCCAGAAAACTGTGCAAAGGGTGTTGCATTAGGAAGGATATAAAAGAAGGTTAGAAAAGAAGAAAATGGTGGTTCAGGAAGCGAATCGAAAAAAGCAAGTCAAGTGGTGCAAAGAGCAAAGAGGTAGAACAGTAGACAACTACTGGAGAAAAGTAATATTTTCAGATGAAAGTCAGATTGCGCTTGGTACAAACAAATGTGTTTACATTTGGCGAAAAGACGATGAAAAGTACAACCCGCATCTTATTTGTTCTTGCTCTGAATGGAAGATAAGTTTGATGATCTGGGGATGTATTTGTTATGATGGTGTTGGAACTCTGACTGCAGTTGAAGGCAACATTAACTCTGCCACGTATATTGACATCCTCGACAAGAACTTATGGTCAGTAGTTGTCTGGTATTTTGAGGGAAGAGAATACTTGTTCATGGATGACAATGCGCCTGTTCACAGAGCCCACAATGTAGACAATTATAAAGATCAAAATGAAGTAACCTCAATGGAATGGCCAGCACAATCACCAGATTTAAATATAATAAAAAATATCTGGCTCTACATGAAGAGAGAGCTATAAAAGTCTGTGGTAAATATCGCTACCAAAAATGATCTTCCACGTGCAATCCAGAGTGTGTGGCAGAACATCAAATTTGATTATATAAAAAACCTTTACCAGTCCATACCTGACCACCTAGACAATGTCATTAAAATGAAGGGTCATCTCACTAAATATTAAGGTGATTTTAAAGTAAGATTTACCAAATACGGTGTTAAAACTAGTGCACGTAAAATGTAAACAAATGCCGCCATATTGAAACTGACGAATACTTGTGTCCCTTGACCGTATGTACCGAGTCACATACTCTCATATACTGTCAACCTCACTTTACAGATGTTGGTTATCTATGCACTGTCTATGAATATATCTTAACAAGGAAACCTCGCAGAAACTGCAAATGATCTTTTAAACATTCTGTCTAATGTTTAGTCGACCTAACTGAGACACAAAATAAAAGTATCAGTACAAAGTAAAGTCATGGATTCCATTGCTGTATTTCAAGACAAACTAAAGTCTGTTGTAAGAAGTAGCTCCACATAAATGATGGACAGTTACAGCACAGTTCCTTTAATTACCTTTCCTTATCTTTGTACTCTCCATAAGACCCTGCTCGCTCTCGCCATTCTCTGAGTTTACTTTTACGTACACTTTTTCCATTGAATTCATCAAACTGATCTGTTCCACGTGGCTCAGAATCATAACGATCACCTGTGATGCAATGATAAAAACAACAAGGTTTCTCAATCTGCAATCAAAATTTCATTTCACTTTTGTTTAAATGAAATCGTTTTGTGTAAATAATAAAACCATGGAGGACATCGTCTCTACAGTTAATTTACTATTCTCATTGGGTACATAATATTTTGGCATGTAATGTGAGAAATAAGAAACTCTTTTAAATTCCATCGTGTCAAGTCTGGGCGCTAGTTGCATGATGCATTCTGGGCTTGTTTAGAATTGCTTGGTTTTTCCCTTCCTCTTGGCCAGTTCAACAGGGTTCAGTGGAAGTGACTTTCACCCTGGCCTCCCCTCCCCAAGTGGTAGTCCCTGTTGTCCCTGTAGAGTTTCCTCGTTCCTGTCATTTGCCGCAAAACATCTGAAAACATTGTTCCTGGTACATTAAGCTAATCATTATTGCTTGAAATCAGAAATTAAAATAACAAATGGACTGTTCCCCAAGTTACATAAAAAAATGGGAATGATAGGATAATTTTCAATTTTGATGCTTCTTTCTTTGTCTGAACATGCCGACCACTAAATTCTTCACGGTATAATACATGTAAAAGGCCTTTGATATTGTTCTGCGAATTTGAATGTTCTTGCCAAATCCTCAAGGATACAAACCGTTTTTGACCCACCCTTCCCAAGATTTTGGTAAAAACATTACGTTTCCATTGTTCCTTGAAATTCTTGCCAAATCCTCTGACCCTTGACCCACTTGCTTTTGGAAAAACCGTTTCCACCGTTTTCTAGCCATAAAAAACTAAAACTGGCAAAAAACTGCAAAATATCCACCTATAGCATTTCGGACCCAGTCATGACTTTAATCTTTTACTTTCCCTCCTTCCATCTATTTCGTTTTTCTGGCCCTATTTGCTCCTTTTGATGACCATTCACTAAGCTGCAGTTAGAAGGGAAAAGTTTTTGGGAAATACTTTAAAATCATAGGATTAGATGGAAAGAAGTGAAGTTGGGTAGTGGACCAAGACTTTTATCAGGATTTTTGGGTCAACTTTACATGGTTTTTTTTCTCTGGCCTCCTTGACTGAATTGTGCTCGTTATGGCGTGGTTTAAAGATCTCTCCCTCATGCACAAGTTACATGACAAAGTTGTCCTTGACCATTAAAAAAATCTACCTTATGGAGAACTAAGGTTATTTGGGGGTTGTCACACAGGTACAGTGAGGGTGTGAATGGGTTAAGTTCGTGCTTCATCAGGCGTGAACTTGCTTGGCTCCTCATCAAACGCTTCTTCTAACATTTAATCTGTAGTTACCAACCATAACATTCATACCAAAAGTAACTGACAAAATCTTACTGTAGTTTCTTGAAAAGTCGTCACTGGAAACACCTTTGTACTTGTCCCGATTTTTCTTTGCTCTTTTCCTTTCATCCTTCAGCCTTTCATCATCTTGAACCAGCTCAATAAGATCTTTCACTTTGTGGCGAACTGGATTAAAAAAGATGAGAACAATAAATTAAGACAAATATATTCTAACAAGTAGAATGAAAGACGTTTGTTTAGGACCTCGAAGGTAGCAGTGATTTTGATAATGCTAAATCGAGTTTATTGACCACCTGCAAAGAAAAGCCACCCTAACCAATGTAAGGAGGAAACTTGAAGATAACTAAATAGGATATAAAGGAACTAAAGAAATTGCACACAGTTGAAACAATGGCTAGTTTGTATGAAACAGCAGTTTGCAAATTGCAATATTCCACACGGTGTCTCTACAGCTAAGACCTACACCCCCTCCAAAACTACAAAACTAAGGAAACTTTCCATTTGTCAGAACTGACTAGCCAGACCATTCCCTTCGTAATAAGAATTTCACTTGTTAATCAAAGGTAACCAGCCACATCAGTCAAATCCTAAATATTATTGAGATGGCTTTTCTGCAAAAACTCTTGGTATAAGCTTATTTCCTCGTCAAAATGACCGGTCCAGCCATGGTCTGGCTGCCAGTTCCGAAGTTTGGAAAGCGCCCTAAAACCCCCCACAGTGATGATCATGCGCTGTGTAGCCACCCACAAAACTTCAAAACTTTTAAATGTTTGTGATATGTATGTCAAATTTTATTTAAGTGGTTTCACTTCACTGTCAAAAGTAATGATCCTTGCACATTCATATCATCCCCATCACTTGTAATCTGAAGTAATCTTCCCGAGGTGGTTACTACAAAGAATGTACTGTTTTTATTATGAAAGACATTATGATCAGGGCTGCAAATATTCCTTTTAAAATTGATACATGTCCAACTGCTGTCACCGTTAACAGTTGGACTAACCACAAAACTTGGTCAGGCAAACAACTATGACAAGTAGGATTTCATCAGACCGAATGCTACTGGCATTCAAGAAAGCTCAGACCTACAAAACTCAGACGCCCCCAAAACTCACAAGTTTTCTACATTAAGGGGGGGGGGTATGAGATCTGAGTTTTCTAGACACCCAACTGTTATTTGCAGCCCTGTTAAAATAAAGCTCAAATAGACATTATACATACTGTTCACTCCTTGGTCTTTCCCGTACTCATCAAAGAAGCTGAAGTTTTCCAGCTGCCTCAAGTCGTAAATGTGGTCTCTGGTGTTGGTTACCACACGTTCCGACCCATTCTTTACGAGATAGGTGAGAAGTAACAAAGACTGAAAAACAAGAAGAAGACCCCCTTCAAGAAATAGAACAACAAATCATTTCATTTTATAATAGTTCAAAAATATAACGTACTAATTTTGCGTTCGAACCTTGTAAATTCTCCTCCAGTTCTTTTTGTTTTCGTGCAGCATTCTTTTCCAAAGCATAGACATCACTTCTGGAAAATGCTCGTATGTGTACGTATACCTTGCTATTTCGGCCATGACAGTTCCGTGAGGACCCCAAGTGTCGTCATTTGTGGCTTCCCTGACTTTCGCCTCAATTTCGGTGTAGTTCATAACTACGTTAGTGCTGTCCAAAAAAGGAAATAATTAGCTTTTACTTGGGTGCATAAAATAAGGTCAAAGCCTATCAATCGATCAAGCCTCCGTATCGTACTGTCTATAAACTCCTTTTTTAAAGTAAAATAACTTACACTCTGTCCTGTAATTCACGAATTTTCCACATTATGAATTCTTGTATTTTTATTTTCGTATTTCAATCTTCAAATCATTTATCTAATACAAGCGATGTGAACGGATTCAAGATGATTAACCCTAAAGATCCCAAAGACAGAAAATGGCGTACACAGAGTTTAGTCTTCCTGGTGACGTCAGATAAGTTCGTTTCCAGTCCCCTCCGGCTTTGTACACACCTTACACACCCCTTATTAGACATACAATTTTACAACGTAATGACCGACACCTCGATAAAACGAACAGCAGCTAAATCCCCGGCGAAAACAAATTACAGACGTTTGACTGAAATAAACACCTGCTATTACGGACTCTCGCTAATAAGGACACTACCTCGAGGTCCCTACAGTGTCCGCTATAAAGGGAGTTGACTGTTCTTCGGTATTTGCGGTCGTCGCTTCTGTGAAGTGTGCTGTTCCCAGGCTACGCGATTTATCTTCCATTCCATGCTGAGTTTATAGTAATTCCAATAAAAATCCCGAGAAATGAAGAGTTTTTATTTTAATAAGGTCTGAGCTGGACCGAGCCAGTGAAGTCATAGGCGTACGGGCAATTTTTTGCCAGCGGGCGGTAAACTGATTTGCACAAACAATTCTCCCAAGTTGCCCAAATTTTTACGAAACATTCGAAAAGAAACGAGGGTCATACGATGCAACAACATAGGCCTACATATATGAAGTAAAAACATTCTTACGTATGAATCTATCATATAATATGAGCTCATTTCTTTGCCATTTTGACGGCCGAAGATATCAATTATGCGATCCATGTCATTGTTCACCACTGATGACTACAGAGTTGGCGTTGTTGCCCTATGGTGCTGCGGCCTGAGGAGGTAAGGGGCTGTTTACATGACACCGGGGCGACTTTCGCGCCGTAGTGAGTTCACTGCGGTTCCCTCTCATAGCTCTACATTTGTTTACATGATACCACCACAAAATGTCATGCCGGCGCGAGTCACCCCGGCGTGAGTTCACCCCGGTTGTTGTACTGGGGCGAGAATTTTACTCCAGTACGAAATCTCGCAACGGTATCATGTAAACGTGAAACGACCACGCGTTTCGGTGTGAAATCGGCCTGCCCGTAGACTGGAACGGGTAGCGCATGCGTAATTGTTTGCGATTTTGAATTTTACGTGTAGTTTATCAACATGAAGTGTACCTTCAAATAACGAGATATGAAATGACCCAGTCATCATAGTGTAAACGCGATACGAAAAAAAAAATCATCCCGGTATGAAACCCGCGCCGGTGCGAGTTTTCTCGTGTAAACACCCCCTAAGCTACGTTTTCCATCTGCGCAACCAGGGGCGTAGCCAGCCCATAGACCTGTAGGCCCGGGCCTACAAATTTTTGGTTGGATCACTCTACCGCTTGTAAAAAATTATACGTTTTGGGGGTGACAAGGTGTTGGTGAGGTCAGTGCGTACTAGTCATGCGTACAATTTTCAGGATATGCGGAAATGAAAGTCAGCCAGGCCTACAACTAGTCGAAAAGCTGGCTACGCCCCTGGCAACGCAATGAATGATCGTTCTGCAGAACACAATCACACAATGTAGCAGGTATCACTCCAAGGATATGAACCACATTAGAAAACACTGGGAACATATCAAATAGATCATTCTCGTGCATTGTCTCCAGCATTTCTGGAACAGTTATGTGGTCCAATCCGCACACGACGAAAAGTCGCGCACATTTTCTGCTTGGCTTTGAGAATCTCGCCGTCGATTTTGTAAAATTTAGCAACGTGGGAGAAACATTCTTTATCAGGTGTTTCACTGTGACAGATGATTCGCAAAGCAACTCCAGTCTCCTTCGCAGAGGCTTCCCGTCGTGCCCCGTGCGCTCTCTTCTTCTTTCTCCCCAGCCTCCCGGCCCTACAACACAAAGAGGCCTCTGCGAGGGAGAGAGCCGAAGCAAAGAGTATTTCCTGATCATTTCCACTAAACCTGAGCTCAAGCTCGGACAGCACCTTTTCGATGGACGCATAGTAACTGTTAATACACTGGTTATCATGCGCCACAGACGCAACTAAAATTTGGTTACATCCGTCTGCGAAACAACGCTGAAATTCTGTTCTGGGCCTCCAATTGTGTACCAGGGGGACCAAGATTTGACGACACGCCATGATTGGCCTTTTAAAAAAGCCTCTGTCGATTTGCCAGTCAGGATAAAAGGAAATTTGAAACGCACTTCCGGTAATTCATTGAGTCGGTTGGGGGCCAGAACAAGGATATCGGCGCTGCTTCTCTGACCTTACTTTGACGCAGGCTATACGGTGGTGCGATTCTGGTGTAAGCTTCGTTTGTCTTAGCGCGTGTTCACTTACAAGGACTTGAAGGCGGCGCGATGGCGTTTGTCTGAGTGCCCTGCCTTCTCGTAATTCAAACTGAGAAATGGTCAGCCACTTAACCGTTTTCAGACCCATTGCTGATGCTATCTGCCAGGGCTATCTGCCAAACTTTCTTACCTCCGACACCAGCATAGGGTCTGAATGGTCATGTTTGGCATTTTTACGAAAGGAGATGATTCTATAAAGTTATGCGGATGTTGATCAGTTTTCAACTGGATATCTCCCACACCAGCTAGCGTAAAAGAAGAAGAAGAAGAAGATACTTTTAGCTAGGGTAACTCCTACAATTACAAAAACTGATATCCTTAGAGGCCCTAGATAAAAAGAAATGTAAAAATATGTTAAAAGTACTTAAAACTAGTCCTAACTAAGTTAATAGAAAAATATCCTAAAAAAAGGATAAACTATTACCAACTATTAATAAAAACTACAAATTACGATTAAAAACTTCACATCCATGACAATTCTAATTTGATGTAGGGAAGACGGAGATGATTACTTTGCCGCGTTTTTCGCTGTACGATATCTCTATTAAAGTAAAAGTAGTCCATTAAAAATTGCGGGCAGCGCTTATTTAGACATTTCTTCACAAGGTTTAACGCGTTAATCTCCCGTCTAAGTCCCAGCGTATCATATTTAAGAGCAGTTGTCTGTAAGATTCGAGCTATATTAAAAAGGCGCTGCCACACTATCTCACCGAATTGGCTAAAAATTGACATGTAGACTTGATTTGAGGTCTTTAATAAGGAATGGGTAACTTTAGGTTCTAATTCCTCCTACTTTGGAAATTATCGACATGGCCGGTTTTTGGGTGCCTCGGACCGGCGCCATATTGGTTAATAGAAGCTGCTTTTGCGCCTTCGACTACAACCCTGTCTTCAAAGCTAATCTTCCTTTGCCAATACAGATTGAAAGAACAATCCCTCTTTATTGTATTTTTAGAAACTACTTCGAAATTGATAACGTTTTCGCAACGATCGATTAAACTTTTGGTGGGTATACTTTTTGAATTTTTTACACCCGCAAAATTAACAGAATTTTAAAGGCGTATATCTCTTTTGCCACATCGCATTGAAGCTTGCCAATCTGCTTGAATACTCACTGTTTGTAGTTAAATCGAGTTCATTAATAAAAAAATTGGGCAAATTTAACGGAGCAGAAACAAAAGTAATGAATGGAAGACTGTTCTAGCGACTTTGTCAATAATCTGTACACCGAATACTCGCCAGGTGTTGCCAAAATTACAATCGATAATAGAGTTTCTGTCATTAAATCTGAGTGATCTGTGTAATAAAATTAGCCTCTGTAATATAATCGATAACTCTGCTGCGAAAAACAGTATAAAAAAGGCAGATTGTATAACGAAAAAGGAAAATGAATTTGTTATGTTTATGCTATGACCCGTAAACAAAATTCAACCATCACAGTCGAACTGGAATTTTCCTGATTTTCCTCCAGTTCCTTTACCGAAACCAGAGCTTTTAAAATTAACCATAGTAATGAAAATTGAGATGTATTACCTTACTCGACGACAAAGTTGCCAGTTTCCACCTTGATCGAAAAAAAGTAATATTTTCCCACGCATATCGCGGGTCGTCACGTTCCTTGCCTGGCGTTACAACTCACGTGAAACCGTCTGGTTTCAAACAACTGAACTGAAGAATCCGTGAAAATCTTAGCCAGGCAATAAATAATGGAAGTTGATATAAGTTATCATTATTAGTGAGCGAGGATCGATGCGATGATAGTTCCAGCTACATGTGTTTACAGCGTTTGAAGATTTACTCAAAACTCATGAGACATGAGCCCTTGAAATAAACATCATTACTTCCGGTTTTAAAAATTGGGAGTTGGCAAAGTAATGAATAGACTCATTCTACCTTGTACACCGTTAACAACGGTTCCGTGTACAATTTTCAGGTATTTTGTCTCAATCACGAAGCCCGTTTTGAGGAGATTCTTGATAAACAGAAAAATTGGTTTGGAAGAGGTTAAGAAGAATGAGGGATGAGCCCGGGACAGCAAAAACCACAGTCACCCCACCGAAGGGCTTTAAAACTGTGCGCAAATGCCTCACCCTAGGGACAATTCCAGATTTTTGTTTCCTTGAAAAAGCTTAAAATCGCTAGACAATGCATGGACAACTCCTCACAGTCCTAATTCAAAATAGTGTAAACAGCAAAGAAAGTTCAGTTAGAGACCAGAGTGTTTATCCGATATCGCGAACAATAAGGAGTGATTGAAGATGTGTCCGCAGTTTAAGGTAAAATCATTTACCATGCTCACGGACCTTTCGAAAACATAAGTGTACCGATTGACGTAATATCAGTGGTAAAAAACGAACGCTTTTTACTGTGGGACGATGACGTCGTCTTCACTCTGGTATCCAGAATTTCAAACAGTCAAAACCTAGTAATTTTCTCTGCTCGTCAAATGAAAAACGCCTCTGAGGGCAAGTAGTGGTAATGTGCTTGTTAGTAAGACGTCCAACATAAGGAGACATTCATAATCAACTCGGTTAATGCATTGATAAAGGGAAACTTTCTCCTTTACCCTTAGGGACAGAGTTCAAAGGCGCAAAAGTTTTTAGTTCAGCTCTAGCATGTGTTGTCTAGCGATTTGCCTTGAGCTTCTCTAAA